AAGTAACAACTGATACCACAGAAATACAAAGGTCCATCGAAACATACTATGAACAATTATACACCAACAAATTGGACAATCTAGGAGAAATGAACAAATTTCTAGAAATACACAGCCTCCCAAACTAAATCAGGAAGAGATAGAAAACTTGAACAGACCAATAACAACAAAGGAAATTAAAGATGTAATTAAGAAACTCCTAACAAACAAAAGCCCAGGCTCAGATGGCTTCACAGGGGAGTTATACTGCACATTCAAAGAAGATCTAATACCCATTCTCCTCAAACTATTCCAAAAATCCAAGAAGATGGAACTCTTCCAAACTCATTTCATGAGGCCAGCATAATCCTAATTCTGAAACCAGATAAAGACACTACAAACAAAAGAAAACTGCAGGCCAATATCCCTGATGAACACAGATGCCAAAATCTTTAACAAAATATTAGCAAATCGAATCCAGCAATACATCAAAAAAATTAATCATCATGACCAAGTGGGTTTTATCCCAGGCATGCAAGGATGGTACAATATTCGCAAATCAATAAATGTCATACACCACATAAACAAAAGAAAAGATAAAAACCATATGATCATATCAATAGATGCCGAAAAAGCCTTCGACAAAATCCAGCATCCATTTCTGATAAAAACACTCAGCAATGTGGGAATAGAGGGATCATATCTAGACATAATAAAGGCCATATATGAAAAACCTACAGCCAACGTCATACTCAATGGGCAAAAACTAAAAGCATTCCCCTTAAGAACGAGAACAAGACAGGGATGCCCACTTTCACCACCCTTATTTAACATAGTACTGGAAGTCTTAGCCACAGCAATCAGACATAAAGAAAAAATAAAGGGGATCCAAATTGGAAAGGAGGAAGTGAAACTGTCATTATTTGTAGATGACATGATATTGTACATAGAAAACTGTAAAGATTCCATCAAAAATCTACTAGACTTAATAAATGGATTTGGCAAAGTAGCAGGATACAAAATTAACATCAAGAAATCAACGCAATTCTTATATACCAATGATGAAAACAAAGAAAGACAAACCAAAAAAAAAATCCTATTTACCATCGTAGCAAAAAAAATTAAGATACCTAGGAATAAACTTAACTAAAGAAGTAAAGGAACTCTTCACAGAAAACTACAGGTCATTGAAAAAAGAAATAGAGGAAGATATAAAAAAGTGGAAGCCTATTCCTTGTTCATGGATTGGAAGAATTAACATAATTAAATGTTCATATTACCCAAAGCAATCTACAGATTCAATTCAATCCCCATCAAAATACCAACAACATACTTCACAGAACTAGAACAAACACTCCAAAAGTTTATATAGAACCAAATAAACTTTTGCTTTATTTGGCCCCAAATAGCTACAGCAATCTTGAAAAAGAAGAATAAAGTTGGAGGGATCACATTACCAGATCTCAGGTATTACTACAAAGCTACTGTAATCGAAACAGCCTGGTACTGGCACAAAAATAGGCAGATAGCTCAATGGAACAGAATAGACAACCCAGAAATTGAGCCAAGACAATATGTTCAATTAATATTTGACAAAGGTGGCAAGAGCATAGAGTGGAGTCAAGACATTCTCTTCAAAAAATGGTGTTGGGAAAATTGGAGAGCTACTTGCAAAAAAAGAAGCTAGAACACCAACTTACACCATACATGAGAATAAACCCAAAATGAATAAAAGACTTAAATGTAACTCGTGAATCCATAAAAATTCTAGAAGAAAATGCCAGCAACAAAATCTCAAACATCATACGCAGCAGAATTTTCACTGATACATCACCTAAGAGAAACAAAGGAAAAAATGAACACATGGGACTACATTAAACTAAAAAGCTGCTACACAGCAAGAGTCAACCATCAAAACAGAAAGGCATCCCACTATATGGGAGACCATAATCGCCAATGATGCATCAGATAAAGGGTTAATTTCCAAAATATATAGAGTGCATGTACAATTCAACAAAAGGAAGACAAAGAACCCAATTAAAAAATGGGCAGAGGACCTAAATGACACCTCTCCAAAAAGGATATACAAATGGCTAAGAGACATACGAAGAAATGCTCAACATCACTAATCATCAGAGAGATGCAAATAAAAACAACTATGAGGTATCACCTCATACCTATAAGAATGGCCACCATCAACAAATCATCAAACAACAAGTGTTGGCAAGGTTGTGGAGAAAAGGAAACTCTAGTACACTGCTGGTGGGAATGCAAACTGGTGCAGCCACTGTGGAAAACACTATGGTATTACGTCAAAAAAGTAAAAATTGAACTTCCATTTGACCCAGTGACCCTACTTCTAGGAATATACCCTAAGAAACCTGAAACACCAATCAGAAAGAATATATGCACCCCTATGTTTGTAGCAGCCCTGTTTACAGTAGCTAAGATCTGGAAACAACCCAAGTGACCATCAGTAGATGAGTGGATAGAAAAGCTGTGGTACATGTACACAATGGAGTACTATGCAGCTGTAAGAAAGAAAGATCTCTTATCCTTTGAGACAGTATGGAAGGACCTGGAAAGTATTATGCTAAGCGAAATAAGCCAAGCAGAGAAAGACAAATATTACATGATCTCACTTATTTGTGGAATGTAATAAACAAAACAAACTGATGAGCAAAATACACCCAGAGACATAGAGGTGGAGTACAGACTGACAAGCCTCAGAGGAGAGGGGATTGGAAGGGAAGAGATAAACCACAGAACTTACATGCATGTATGCATGACCAATGAACATAGACAACAAAGCTGGGGATGAGGCGGGGCAGGGGGAGCGGCGGAGGGTGTCAATGGGGGGAAATGAGAAACATCTGTAACAAAAACAAACAAACAAATAAACAAACAAATAAATAAATAAATAAAAAACACTGGCCGTAAGGATTTCTTTAAACAATAAAGAAACTAGAAAATACTGTTTAAAAGGATAATTTTTGCAGATATTGATGTATGAAGTAATAACAGCTTTTCTCTAGGATCTTAAGAATAGCTGTAGATATTGCCATCAAACAGTTACAGAAAATATTTTAGAAATAGAGAAGAAAGCAGACTTATTCAAAGAAAGAAAATTCTTTCTAGTTCTTTTGTAAACAAAATATATTTGTGAAGCTTTAAAAATGTTTTTTTTTTTTATTTTTTTATTTTTTTTTTTTATCCTCACCCGAGGACATTTTTCCATTTTCCGTTCAGATAGAGCGGGAGGGAGAGAGAGAGATAGAAACATCGACGTGAAGTGACACATCGAGTGGCTGCCACCCGCACGACCAACCAGGGCAGGGGACCAACTGCAACCGAGGTACGTGCCCTTAGCGGGAACCGAACCCGGGTCTCTCTGTACCGCAGGCCGACGCTCCAACCGCTGAGCCAAACCGGCCAGGGCTAAAAATGTTTTGAACTTGTGATAATTTACAAGTAAAACTATTTAAAGTTGATCAGCTTAGAGCACCCAAAATTAACTATTTCAATAATCTAAGAGAGAACAATTCTCAGATTTGCTTCATCAATATCAAATGAGCTCATAACACAAAACTGAATGAAATAATCTTGGTAACTCTCTTAAATGAGTTCATTGAAGTGATTACAATAAAGAGGGTTACTATGGATTAAAGAAAAATTTTATTTTAAGGAAAAAAATAAAAGACTCTAAAACTGTTTAGATAACAAAACGAATCATGACCACTAACCCTAAAATACTTTTATGTCTTCCTCAAGGGATGTCAGATTTTTTAAAAGTGACTGCCTAGGCTCAAGATAAAAAACTAAAATATCTCCCCAAAGAATTAATAACTGCAAGCCAGCCCTCATGGGTTTGGAACAGAAATTCACACATTCGTGTAATGGAAAAGACACACAATAAGCTTTAGAGCTCCCAGGCATCTGGTAGTAACTCGTATAAAGGTTTTCCAGAATAAATTCTTTAAACTCTGACCTCGAAGAATTTTTAATGTAATACAGGCTAATGACCTGATAGAAAAGCTGGAAAAGACATGAATATACATTTCCTGAAAGGAGAAATACAAGTGAGCAAAATATATAAAGAGATGTTCAAACTCATGAGTTTTGAGAAAAATGAAAAATAAAGCAACAATATACTATTTTATATGTACAGCATTGAAGAGCATTAAAATAGTGAACAAAACAAGTTTGGTAGCAACAGTGACATTAAACATTGCTGGTATGAGTGCAAACTGGTCTGAGGAACACTGGAATTATCTTGCAAAACTGAGATACAAATATCCTAGAGCTAAACAAAGCCACACTTTATAAATACACTAATTCCTTGTAACCATGCTGCAGGAGACATTTGTAAAAATATTTAAAACAGAGTTGATTATAAAAGAAAAAAGATGCAAACAGCAAAACTGACAATCTACAGAACAAAAGGTACACTAAATAATGATCTGATATTTCAAATAAGAAACATCACACCTTAGTGAAAAATAACTGAACTTCAACTACACAGGTCAGCATATATTAATCTATCAATATACTGCTGGTCAGAGTATCAAATAAAAGAAATGTTTGACTCCATTGATACAAATTCAAAATCAGAAAAACCAATTATTATTTATGAATACATTTGGAGTGTAATTTTAAAAAATGAGGAGAAATATGAAGTTGAGGAGGGAGATGACTTCTGGGCTAAATGGATGGGAAGATGACTACTGAGGAATTCATAATGGACGAACAAGGCTTTGGTAATGTTCTATTTTTGAAGTTGGTTGGTACGTTCATTATATTAATGGGTGTTTATTATGCTTTAAATGGAATATATAAGCTATAAATTCTTAGGTATGTATGGTATATTTCATTATGTAAAACAATACAGTCTTAAGAATAACCAATGGCAATATATATGTTTATTTCTTTGTCTCCTGAGTATATGATCACCCTTTGTCTTTCTGAATTTAAGTTTCAGCCTCAGAATTTTTTGATGATTATGATAAGTAGGGGATAATTACCGTGTTTCTTATTGGAATCTTCTTGGGTTCCGGAGGCATGTCCTGCGGAACAAATTTCACTGGTTCCTTAATCTGCCGCCTTGATCGTTTGGTCCCATCTGGTAAGGTTTCCATGGCCATCTCTGCTTCCATGTCACTGCTCCCAGCCTGGTCACACTCCGAACACTGCCTACACAAAGAAAAGGAATAAGTTCATACATTTATTTTTACCTTCTAGTGTTAGCATTGGTTTCTATAAATACAAAATTCAGGTATATGTGAAGAATATATAAAAATATACATGGGTATATGTGACCACAGGGTATATAATGACTATACATACAGAAAGGCATATACACTCCTGTAATAAGTATAATAAGAACATATGTTATAATGCTGCATGTTTAAGTGAACTAACATAAAAGAGTCAGCACTGATTAAAAATGTAGTTTCCCTGATCTGGCTGGTGTGGCTCAGTTGGTTAGGCACTGTCCCGTGCACCAAAAGGTTGCCAGTTTGATTCCAGGTCAGGGCACATGCCCAGGTTTTGGGCTTGATCCCCAGTAGAGGGTGTGCAGAAGGCAGCCGATAGATGTTTTGCTCTCACATCAATGTTTTTTCTCTCTCCCTTTCCCTTCCTCTCTCTCTAAAAAAAAAAGAAAGAAAAAAAAATCAATAAAGTGTTTAAAAAAAAAAAAAAAACAGGTAGTTTCTCTTTGGTAATTATGACTTTTCCATGAGTGACATGTACTATGGCACCTGGAAATCAAAGTCATTTACTGACCCTGACTCAGCTATCATCTTTTCATCTTAATGACAAGCCATGATGAATATACCAACTAAAAAACTCTGTAGAAAGTTTCTAAGAAGTGTTGAAAAATAAATGGGTCATTTAGTTAGTGGCCCATACTATTTATGAAAGAGGAAATATAAACTTACTCATTAAAAGAATTCAATGAAGCGTTTTTTAAAACACGGGGATGTGGGAAGATGGCAGATTAGGAAGCAACAGGAATCTGTCTACCTAGAACACAATTGTACTAATGGAATCTGTCTGAGGTAACCGCTTCGGAACTCTGGAGTCTATCGAAGGCTTGCAGCTTCCAGGGAAATGCTTGCATGGGCAAACTGCTGTTATTTCAGTCACCCTCAGCTCGTAGCGCAGTAGCAGCTCCCAATGCCCATCCCACCCCACGGCAGGCAGTTGTGTACACATTCCTGCACTAGCTTGCACATAGGCATTAGGAGCCAGGGTGGGCAAGATGAACCCTGACTTCAAATATTGGGATCTGTTCTCTGATCAGATTGCTGCTTTTGATCGTAGAAGTATGGACAAAAAGGTGGGTGACCTCCCCATCAGTCTGAAGTAACTTCCAGGACTTAAAGACCAGTGTCCTTTATCCCTCCACCTTCATTTTCCTCTTCTTCCCCTTTTGGGAGCCATACATTAAAGACTAGGACATTCAATGCCCGGCCAGTGTGGCTCAGTGGTTGAATGTCGACCCATGCACCAAGACATCACCAGTTCGATTCCCAGTCAGGGCAGATGCCCAGATTGTGGGCCCTATCCCCAGTGGGGGACATGCAGGAGGCAGCCAAATGATGTTCTGTCTCATCGATGTTTCTCTCTCCCCCTTCCTCTCTCGCTAAAATCAATAAAGAATTTTTTTTTTTTTAAAAAGACTAAGACATTCAAAAATAAGTGCATATATGAGAAATTAGAAAGTGACCACCCTTGCCCAAGAAAAAAAAAGAAAAAACTCAGAATAGCTATGAGAAGACCATAATATTATACCACAGGCTGATCCTCAGCACAGAGACAGCCCCTATAATAAACAAACAGACAAATAAAAAACAATAACAAAACACAGCATACCCTGGGGGCAGAGGAGAATTTAATTTGTAGAGTTATCACATTATTAAATTTAAATATCCATTTTTTATGAAAAAACATAAAGCACACAAAGAAAGGTAAAAGTATGGTACATTGATGGGACAAAAATTAAGTAAACAGAAACTGTGTCAGAAGACTTGATGGCAGATCTATAAGACAAAGACTTTAAAACAACTCTTATAAAGATGCTCACTGAACTAAAGGAGGTTGTGCAGAAAGTCTGGGAAACAATGTATGAACAAAATGGATATCAATAAAAAAACAGAAAACCATAAAAAAATTAAAAAGAAATCTGGAGCTGAAAAGCACAAAAACTGAAATGAAAACTTTGAGAAATTCTTACAATAAAGCAAAAGAGAGTTACAAACACACTAGACAGAATTCATGCTTTAAGAATCCACTAAGATACCAAAATAGCCTCAATTAACTTAAAATTCATTTCTCAAAAAAAAAAAACCCTTTAACAGGCTTATTCATATAATACTACAATAAACATTTATGCCAGAAGCATTTTTACCACAAAAATAGAAAACAGTAACAATGTGAGGTGATGAGCATGTTAATTAGCTTGATTGTGGTGATTTTTTTACAATGTATATGCATATCAAATCGTTAAGTTGTACACTTTAATATATATTCAGTTTTTAATTGTTGATTATAACTCAATAGAGTTGAATAAAAATGAAAGTATCAATTTTAAAATTGCCACAAACTTTATTAATAAGCAATATAACACTTCATCTTATGCTGTTGAAATGAAGCCAACTCAATTCTAACATCTAAATCCTCCCCATTTTACTTACCAATAACTGTTTTTGGTCTTTCTTGGCATCCTCGTAAGAGGAGGGTCCAGACATCCAAGATGGTAATGAAGTTTACAGGTATCACACAGTAAAAGAAGATGCTGATCATGGTTCTTCTTACAAATTCCACAACTTTGAATAAAGGCAGCAAATAAAGTATTAGATTATAATTATCATAGTAAAACAGTTAATTTATAGCATACTTTTAAGTTTCAAAATTTCATCACAATTAAGATTCTTTTGTTGAAATCAAATATTTTTCATAACCTATCTTTTTGTAATGTCAATAACAAATTTTTAATTCTAATACTTTTGAAAATATAGAAAAATAGCTCAGATCTAGTATAAATTTAAATAGTGCTAGAGATCAACCTTTTGGAGTAGGGCATTTATGAGATATTTATTCTCAACATCTTTATCTGACTTATCACTTAAAACCCATTTAACATTAGCTCAATTTTCCTCTAAAATTATAAATTATTAAATAAGAATTTTCCAGCTTTCTACTTCTCTAAAACTATAAAAGTGACTTTAAAAACAAAATTCAATGTTGTCTTTTCTACCATTAATTATAAATCTTTCAAAGAGCCCTCAATATGTAAATAAGCTACTTATATACATGAGTCTCTTTTCAAAATCAGACTTTCAATCTTTAAAATATACTATAGCCCTGGCCAGTTTTGTTCAGCAGTTAGAGCATTAGCCCATGGACAAAGGGGTCTCGGGTTCGATTCCTGGTCAGGGGTGCAAACCTGAGTTGCAGTTTCGATCCCCGGACTGGTCGGGGTCATGCAGGAGAAAACCAATCAATGTGTCTCTCTCACATTGATGTTTCTCTCTCTCTGCCTCCCTCCCTTCTACTCTTTCTAGAAATCAATGGAAAAATATCCTTGGGTGAGGATTAACAACAACAAAAATGTACTACTGTATAGATGTTTACTGCAGAGAATGAGGAGCTTTACTATTGGTATTACTGCTATTTTGGATTTTTGCTTTTAAGGAATCTAACTTTTCTTATGCATAAAGGCAACTTAGCTGAGAGCACATGTACCATGACCTGAAAATCTAGAGTATATTTATTTATATTGGGAATGTAAAGACTGGGGAAAAGCTTATGAGAACCGAAAACAGCCATCCATGTACAGAAATAGCAATGATGTTTGAATTTAAATAATCCTAGGAAAAAAGATCATACACACACACAACAACAACAACCACAACCCATATTTGGTTTCAAAGTTGCTCAGGGTTAAAAAAAAACAATCACCTAAAATATATTCAAAAATTGAAAATGAACTGTAGTGATAAAACTCAGAGGTATAGTGATATGTCTGATGATTCCAAATGAACCAAATTGTTTGGGAAAAGTTTGATTGAGAATGAACTTGTCTTCACACAATACACTAAGACATTAGTGGGTTTTCCCCACATTTCAAGGAAGTTATTTTGTACTACCTAAGGAGGGAGCCTTCAACCAAGATTGGAAAATAATTATAAAGATTGATGTTGTGGCTATTGCTGCTATTTCCGGAAAAGGAAGAGGTTGTAGGGATATTTATGTATTACATAAGCATATATGCATGTTTACAAGAATATAAAGGTTTGTGTATGTATATATAAACACAAATGTAAATTTACTAGCATCTTCTAAACTTTTCTCATTTAATCAATATAATCAGTTATATTTAAAAGAAGATTGTTCGGGGTTGAGAACACAAATACAGTGCAAAGATGATGTGTTGTGGAATTGTGCACCTGAAATCTGTATAATTTTGTTAACCAGTTTCACCCCAATAAATTCAATTAAAAGGATAAATAAATAAATAAATAAATAAATAAATAAATAAAAACAAGATAGAAAGAGGAAAGAAAGAGCAAAAAAAAAAAAAAAGATTATAACCTATTAAGGTATGGAAAGAAGTCTGAACTATGCAAAATTACTATAATGGTGGACACTGTAAAATATTGAGCCAAAAAAGTAAAGAACAAAAATTTTCTGAAAATAAAATTATTACAACTTAGCATAGAGAGAAAAAAATATAGACAGATTTAAATCTAAAACTTATCTTCATTATCCACCACTGTACAAAGGCAATAATTCAGAATATATATATATATATATATATATATAGTACCCATCAGTATCTGAAAACACATGCAGAACTCTAAAACTCATTCAAATAAAACACAAATGCCCATTATCTAATGTATTGTTTAATTATTTATAAAAATAATTAAACTCACTTTCCAATTCCCCAAAGAATGAAGTTTATGCACATATATCCTCAGTTACTTAAAAGATACAAAAAGTCATTTACCTTATTAAAAGATGAGTAAAAACACTCTTCTATCAAACTTGAAAAGAATCTTTGATGATGGTATTAATAAAATTGAACTTTAAATGCTATTAACTTAAATTCTGGTGTGGACATAATTCATTCTCAAATACCTGAAGTATCTTGTTACTAAAAAGTATTAGTTTAAAAATACACAATATTAATTTGTGATAATTTCATTACTTGCCTATAAAGTACTGTAGGAAGAGTGGATATCTTTTGCGCGCCTCCTTCTTTTTTACTTGGTTTTCGCTCCTTGGGTGCTCGCAAAATTGCCGGTATGTTCAACTTCTATTGATTTGAAGAAATGCAGTTTATTTTGTTTTAAAGAAATATAAAGTAACATTTTCTCTCTATGCCACTCAAGTCAAGTGACAGTGCTAGGATTGTGAGGGGAAAATGTTTTACCAGCTATTACACTGGCAAAAAGGATTAAAATGAGTTTTTGTTTCAGTTACTTCCATTAGAAACCTATAATTACATACTTCCATCAATTTTCAGTGGAACAGTAAAACATTATGAAAATTAACTTCTTTAGCTTTAAAAAGCGAAAGACGATGACAAGCATTTAAGAACATTAAAAAAAAACAAACAAAAAAAAAACCCACATACAGTACACTTAACAAAAAGAATATTAAAGCCGTTTATTTTCCTCAACATCCCAACTGCACTGGTGCTCCATAGGTTAATTAGAAAAGTTATCTTATTGGACCAAATTCTCCACAATGTGAATGAGATTCTCTTTGGTTTTCTACTACTCTGTAGTATGCTGGCTCCTCAGACAGCAACCATCTATCAAAGTCATTTGTCAGTGGCCCAATGGGCTAGCATCTGTTCAACCTACCGGAAAAAAAGTGTCATGCAAGCAGTACAAATGAATTCTACCTCTGCTGTGTATTTTACATTTGTACAAGGAAATCTGTGAACTTCTGTTAAAACTCATTTAATAAATGAAAATGCACTTTTATAGCAGATTTGTGTGACACCAACATGCAAATCAAGCCAAAAGATAATGCTACCTTGGCAAATAAAGAACAGGCTTGTACTCAAAATTAACTTCTCTAAATATAAAATATATAACACCAGCCCTGGCCAGGTAGCTTGGTTAGAGCATCATCCCATCCTGATATGCCAAGGTTGTGGATTCCATCCCCAGTCAAGGGCACATACAAGAAACAACAAATCAATGTTCCTCTCCCTCTGTCTTTCTCTCTCTCTCTCTCTCTCCCCTCACCTTTCTCTCTGTTTCCCCTCCCTCTTTCTCTCTAAAATCAATAAATTCATGTATATAAAACACCATAATCTTACAAAAATCCATCAACAACCTATAGCTAGAACAATGTCAGTTCTCCATAAGAGAGTGTTCGTTCTCACCTTTTAAATTGTTATTCACTATAAGCCAAATACACCCTGTTCACGAAAGCATCCTCAAAGCTAGCATAGCGCAATACATATCATCAGTACGTGTTACTTCCTGAAATAATATGTCTATACAAATTATATGATGAATTTGTCTCTTTGTAAACCTATGAAACAAGTACAATAAAAAATATATTTTCTTTGAAAATCATCCTTCACAAATAAAACTACTTTCATAGTGGAAAGACCACAGAGTGTGTCCATCATCCTTAAACAATATAACTGAAATTACTTGAATGAATTCTTAATTTATGAATTATACACACTATACTAAAAAACAAAAAACAAAAAAAACAAAACAAAACAAAAAAAAAAACTTCAAAGAAATCCATTTGGCAAGGATTCTTCTTTTCAATGCCAAGAATGTTAACAGGCTAAAAATGTTCAAGGGTAAAGTTATTTTTTTCACAATAAATACCTACTGAAGGGGAAAAGCTACACTTTAAAGTTTCAAAAATCATTTCTTACATAGCTAAAAGGTAAATCAACACAAAAACAAATCTCTTCAGCTTGCCTTTCAAATTTTACATTAAAATTACAAAATCTCTCATGTCAATGTTTCTCTCTTTCTCTCCCTCTTCCATCCATCTCTCTCAAAAAAAAATAAATAATTGAGAAAATATTATTTTTTAAAAAGCCCTTGCCAGTGTAGCTCAGCTGGTTGGGCATCATCCTATACCCAAACGATTGCCAGTTTGATTCCCAGTCAGGACACATGCCTGGGTTGCAGGCTAGATCCCTGATAAGGGGCATGCAGCAGGCTGCCAACTGATGTTTTGTTCTCACATTGATGTTTCTCCTTTATTTTCCTTGTCCTAAAAAAATATTTTTATAAAAACCCAAATATATAACAAGAACAAGACAGAAGAAAATATGACAAAGAATCTAAAACTGCTACATTTTAGGAGGGAAATGCTTCAAATCTTAACTTCATCACAATGATAGGTCAATCATTTAGAGCAAATGAGAAAAAATCTGGAAACAAGAAAGCTGTTAAAACAACCAAACTAAGCTACAGGTTTGCAACAGGCAGCTTCTAATGCTCTAGATGTATTTCAGGCAGAAATCATTACACCAGAGGATTAGGTGACCCTAATCAAACAGAATCCTTTAGTTAACAAAGTGACAGTTGTATCAGAGATGTGGTTTTCGAAAATAATACAGAGAACAAAAATAGAAGGAGAGAGCAATTGGAAAGAAACTAACCTGCCCTGTGATTCTGCCTAGTAAGGCCCATATTCCTTGTCCTTCACTCCGAAGTTTCCCATTTAGGTTTTGTAGTTCTTCTAAAGATTCACATAGCTACAATGCAAATAATTAAAATTAGTAAACCATTCAAATATATAGTAAAATATGTAAAAATATAAATGACTCATCAATGAATATCCAAGAATATCTGTATTTATATTCCATACAGTTTTAATATATTCAAGTCTCAATACTACTGACAGATGAGGCTATCCAATTAGTTAAGAAACCGCAACAAAATATAAGCATTTTAGTTTATGTTAGCATTTTTATTAATGACAATGATACCTAATTTATATATTGTTATAGTTTAATACAAAACTTCACACACATTATGCTAATTAATTCTGATTATTAGCAAAGCGCATTTCTACTATATCCCAAAGAGAACACCAAGAAACACAGGGTTTTTGTGACTTGGCCAGGATCATAGAACCAGCAAGAACCCCAGGTCTTCTGAATCTAACCCCAGTACTCTTCACTACTATGTGGCTAATTATGGGATTTTTCTTCCTACTAATTTTTTATCACTTAAAATGTTACCTAACAGTAAGTCAATACCAGTTTTATATGCTCATATTACTTATTACCTAACATTTTAGCTACCTATTGTTTTTTTTAATTATTTTTATTAATTTGTTTTTGTTACAGATGTTATCTCCTTTCCCCACCATTGACACCCTCCTCCCCTTCGCCCCCATCCCCGACCCATCCCCTGGTTTGTTGTCCATGTCCACTGGTTATGCATACATGCATATAAGTTCTGTGGTTTATCTCTTCCCTCCCCCTATCCCCTCTTCAGTCTGTATCCTACTTCTATGTCTCTGGGTCTATTTTGTTTATCAGATGTTTTCTTCATTATATTCCACAAATAAGTGAAGTCATATGATACTTGTCTTTCTCTGCTTGGCTTGTTTCGCCTAGCATAATGCTTTCCAGGTCCCTCCATGTCATCTCAAAGGGTAAGAGATTTTCCTTTCTTACAGCTGCATAGTACTCCATTGTGTATATGTACCACAGCTTTTTTATCCACTCATCTATTGATGGACACTTGGGCTGTTTCCAGATCTTAGCGATTGTAAGTAGTGCTGCTATGAACATAGGGGTACATATATTCTTTCTGATTGGTGTTTCAGGCTTCTTGGGGTATATTCCTAGAAGTGGGATCACTGGGTCAAATGGCAGTTCAATTTTTACCTTTTTGAGGTAACACCATAGTGTTTTCCATACTGGCTGCATGAGTCTGCATTCCCACCAGCAGTGCACTAGAGTCCCCTTTTCTCCACACCCTCGCCAGCACTTTTTTTTTGATGATTTGTTGATGGTAGCCATTCTGACAGGTGTGAGGTGATACCTCATAGTTGTTTTAATTTACATCTCTCAAATGACTAGTGACATTGAGCATTTTTTCATAGGTCTCTTGGCCATTTGTATGTCCAATTTGGAGATGTGTTTCTTCAGGTCCTCTCTACATATAGTTTTTTAGGATATTTCTTTTTGAGCTCCCTCATCATTAGAATAAAAAAGTAGCCCTGGCCAGTTTGGCTCAGCAGTTAGAGTGTCCACCTGCGGACCAGAGAGTACCAAGTTCGGTTCCCGCTAGGGACATATATCTCAGTTGCAGTTTGTCCCCAGTCCCAGTTGGGGTCATGTGGGTGGCAACCAGTCAATGAGTCTCTCTCACATCAATGTTCCTCTCTCTCTCTTTCTCCCTTTTTCCCTCCTGGTCTATCTGAAGTTACATGCAAAAATGTTCTTGGGTGAGGATAAAAAAATAAATAAATGAAAAGGTAGAATAATAATTTTAATTGGGAGGTATGTTTTAAAACAAAAATAACATTACTAAACAATTCAAGATAAAAATAGCCATTTAATAATAAGCTTTTTATTCTCCTCAAACTATTTCAAAAAATTCAAGAAGGAAGACTTCCAAACTCGTTTTATGAGGCTAGCATAATTCTAATTCCAAAACCAGAAAAAGACACTACAAAGAAAGAAAACTACAGGCCAATATCCCTGATGAATATAGACACCAAAATCCTGAAGGCAAAATACTAGCAAATCGGATCCAGCAATACATCAAAAAAATTATTCACGATGACCAAGAGGGGTTCATCCCAGGGATACAAGGCTGGTACAATATTTGCAAATCAATAAATGTCATACACCACATAAACAAAATGAAGAATAAAAATCATATGATCATATCAAGACACTGAAAAAGCATGTGACAAAATCCAGCAACCATTTCGGATAAAAACGCTCAGCTATCTGGGAATAGAGGGACCATATCTCAAATATGAAAGACCTACAGCCAACATCATATTCAATGGGCAAAAACTAAAAGCATTTCCCTTAAGAACAGGAACAGCACAGGGATGCCCACTTTCGCCACTCTTATTTAACATAGTACTGGAAGTCTTAGCCACAGCAATCAGACAGGAAGAAAAAATAAAAGGGATCCAAATTTGGAAAGGAGAAAGTGAAACTCATTATTCGCAGATGACATGATACTATACATAGAAAATTCCAAAGACTCCATCAAAAATTTACTAGACTTAAATAAATTTGGCAAAGTAGCAGGATACAAAATTAACATCAAGAAATAGACAGCATTCTTATACACCAATGATGAATTCACAGAAAGAGAAACTGAAAAAAAATCCCATGTACAATTGCAGCAAAAAAAATTAAGATACCTAGGAATAAACTTAACCCAAAAAATAAAGGACCTATTCGCAGAAAACTACAGGTCACTGAAAAAAGAAATAGAGGAAGATATAAAAAAGTGTAAGCACATACCTTGTTCATGGATTGGAAGAATTAACATCATTAAAATGTCCATACTACCAAAGCAATCTACGGATTCAATGCAATCCCCATCAAAATACCAACGACATACTTCACAGAACTAGAACAAATACTTCAAAGGTTCATATGGAACCAAAAAAGACCTCAAATAGCCACAGCAATCTTGAAAAAAAAAAAAAACAACGTTGGAGGGATCACATTACCAGATTTCAGGTTATACTACAAAGCCACTGTAATCAAAACAGCCTGGTACTGGCACAAGAACAGGCACATAGACCAGTGGAACAGAACAGAGAACCCAAAAATGGACCCAAGTCAATATGCCCAATTAATATTTGAAAAAGGTGGCAAGAGCATACAGTGGAGTAAAGACAACTTCTTTAATAAATGGTGTTGGGAAAATTGGACAGCTACATGCAGAAAAATGAAACTAGACCATCAACTTACACCATACACAAGAATAAACTCAAAATGAATAAAAGACTTAAATGTGACTCATGAATCCATAAAAATCCTAGAAGAAAATGTAGGCAACAAAATTTCAGACATCATACGCAGCAGAATTTTCACTGATACATCACCTAAGGCAACAGAAACAAAGGAGAAAATGAACACATGGGACTACATCAAACTCAAAAGCTTCTGCACAGCAAAAGATACAATCATCAAAATGGAAAGGCAACCCACTGTATAGGAGAGCATAACTGCCAATGATATATCAGATAAGGGGATAATTTCCAATATATAGAGAGTGTTCATAAATTCAACAAAAGGAAGACAAAGAACCCAATTAAAAAATAGGGGGAGGAACTAATAAACACTGCTCCAAACAGGATATACAAATGGCTAAGAGACAAATGAGGAAATGCTCATCATCACTAATCATCAGAGAGATGCAAATTAAAACAACAATGAGGTATCACCTCACACCTGTCAGAATCAAACAAGTGCTGGTGAGGGTGTGGAGAAAAGGGGACTCTAGTACACTGCTGGTGGGAATGCAGACTGGTGCAGTCACTATGGACAACAATATGGTGTTACCTCAAAAAGGTAAAAATTGAACTGCCATTCAACCCAGTGATCCCACTTCTAGGAATATACCCCAAGAAGCCTGAAACACCAATCAGAAAGAATGTATGTTCCCTCCATGTTCGCAGCAGCACTATTTACAATAGCTAAGATCTGGAAACAGCCCAAATGTCCATCAGTAGATGAATGGATAAAAAAGCTGTGGTACATATACCCAGTGGAGTACTATACAGCTATAAGAAAGAAAGATCTCTTATCCTTTGAGATGACATGGAGGGTCCTGGAAAGTATCATCCTAAGCAAAACAAGCCAAACAGAGAAAGATAAGTTTCATATTATTTCACTTATTCGTGGAAATAATGAACATAACAGTCTGAGGAATGGGGTAGTCCCAGAGACGTGGAAGTAGGGTACAGACTGACAATCCCCAGAACAGGGGGTGGTGGGGGAGAGATAAACCACATAACTTATATGCATGTATGCATGAACAGTGGTCATGGACAACAAAGCTGGGGACAGGACGGGGAGGGAGAGGGAGGGGGGAATCAGTGGGGGGAAAAGGAGAAACATCTGTAACAAAAATTAATTTTAAAACAATAATTAATTTTTAAAAATAATAATAAGTTTTTAAGTTTTCTACAAACTTAGAGAAGTTCACAGTACAGGGGTCAGGAATGAAGTCAGAGTGCTTGGCCTCAAACACCAACTCTATGATTTGACAGACTACCTGAGCCTAAGCAAATTACTTCACCTGTTTAGGACTCAATTTCCTTCTCAAAAAAGGGAGCAGTAAGCATAACCCATATTGTAAAGTTGAAGTGAGAATTAAGTGAATGAATAGATGTAAAGTTCTCAAAATTGTGGCTGGCATATAACAGAGTAAGTGCTAAGTGTCAGAGATGAATATGAAGATGATGAGGGGTGGGAGCCATAAAGGGCCTGAAAACTCCAGAAGAATTTCAAAATGAAAGATAAATAGTAATACTGTAAAAATCACAAAAGAACTAATCAGATCTATGATGTTGTTTGATTGATAGCCAACTTACCTTATTATATTCCACATGAAGCTTTTCTTGTTCATTCTCTAATTTATCCTTTATATTCTTTTGTTCAGCCATATTTTCCTGAATTTGAATCATGCGCATATTTCTTTCTATTTAAATTAAATATCCAATTTTACTTTAGTAGAAAATAAAAACTGATATAAAAAATACACAAAGGAAGAAGCTAGCCCTAGAGATGAATGTAGTTTTAAACCTACATTGTTTACAATACTTTTACCTCTATTCACAAACACATGAACCTAGCATGTTACAAAAACCCACAACTGATTAGGAAAATAAACATGCTTTTGCTTGATATATGCAGCATGGCTAACACATTAAAAATTGAGACTATATCAAATAGATTCATTAGCAAATTATTTTCATTGACAATATATATGTAGCAGTGTCTATACTGACCAAAATAATAATTCACAAAGTCAGCAGTGAGAGCAGGTTGCTTATGCTTTCTCCTTCCATCCACACTAGAACTAGTATCTGAATTGTCCACTGGGAAGATATCTGTACTGATCCCCATTAGTTCTGCTTTCCGCATCAGTTTACGAATAGCTGAAGCACTGCTAGTGAGTGGTCTGGGCAGTTTTTCCCTTGGAACCCAGGCCTGGGGTCTGGTGGATCGAGCTAGTTCTGCTTTCGCACGATACTGCTGAAGCCGGGCATTGATTCTTGCCTATAAAAAAATGTATACAAATTTTAAAATATATTAAAATGGAATCTATTCCTTATGATTTTTACTTCCATACTCAGGGAAAGTAAAGATGGCCAGAATTTCCCATATCAAGGCAAGTTAGATTTATCCACAGTCCTTAAGGTTTACTGGTCCTTAAGATACACTGTATAATTCTTGGGTGACAGTAAATTAGGTTTACCCCTAGTAACAACAGTCTTCCTCTATGATCAGAACTGTCACAAACTAATTTGATTCCGCTAAGTTTCTCTTCTTAGTAACTGTAATAGTGGTCATAAATTTACTTCATTTACATAGAAATACATTTTAAATGATGGGCAAACTGATCAAATCTTTTGCATAAACATCAGAGCAGACTGAAAAAAATGTGGTCAACATATTGCACTGATGGAATAATTTCTTCTAAGCCACAATTTTTTCAGTGTATTTGGAAACATGCTTTATAAATGTCTCCTCTGTTGACAAGATGAGGAGCAATGTATTTAGTCACAAACTATACCCGCCATGTAACTTAATGACAATCCATTTCCTAAGTAACTAACCAAATTTTATAACTAGACTTCATTTGTCATTTGCAAACACACATGAGATCTGAAATACATAACCTCAAAAGAATAAACATGAGTTTGGCATAAATTCCGTACCTGTGCTTCTGGTGACAGCTGCTTCTCTCTTTCTTGTAAAGACATTTTACAGTAGGATTGTAGAGCCAGGTAGTTTTTTCTCTTCCACTTTCTGTCTAACCTATCTGCATGTTGTTTACAATAAGCAAAAAATGGATCTGCTATATCCTATATCAAAAAATGGGAAGAAAGTGAACATTTTTTACTTCAAAAGACCATAAGACAAACCTAACACAAGAAATCATTTTTTGAAGATTCTCTGTCAGTGTTGGTTATTTCTAAAACAAATTCTAAAAGTAATTTATACACATAGTGATAAAAATTACTTCTTTAGAAACTTAATCCTGGTATATCAACGTCAAATTAACAAACTTTTTTCTTTAAAGGGCTTTGTGGAATTAAAAATACTAAAATCAAATCTAATGTATTATATCTAATTATACCTATATACCTTTAAAAATCCTGTTTATAATAAGATTTTATCAATCTTAGGTAGAAATTATCATTAAATAGTAAAGCTATGCACACATAGATTAATATTATAAAACAACAATATATTCAGAAAATACAGAACTAGCCAACACAGATAAGTGGGACATTTCTAACTAGCTAGTAATACATGAACAGACTCTATGCAGGACAAAATTGAATTAAGAAGGTTAGGTCCTGTCAATAAAACATCTTAGATGACCCTTTTAACTCTATATAACCCTAAGACCGCAAATGAAAACACAACGCTGTCATAGCCATCTTTCACGGCACTAGCCTAATGGGTACATTTTCATTCATAAAGAGTAGGGTACAAAAAAAAAAAGAGAGAGAGAGCAAGAGAAAGAAAAAGAAATTTATTCTATCAAAAACAAAAATACTTTTTAACTACATAGCCTAAAAAAACAATTTACAATGAGATTGATAATGAAATAACAGGTAGTCTCAAGGAGGAGAAATAAAGATAAGCTATCCATACAGGTTTTATCTAAGTTATAGTAAAAGGGTCTCTTAGTAAGGTGGAGTTTTACAACCCAAAGAGAAATGATGACACTAAAAACAAAACAAACAAAAAACAGAAAGAGAAATAATAACTAAAAAAGAATCTAAGGCATGCTTAACATAAAAAAAAAGATGCAATTCTGTAGTGTGATATCCACAGATATCATACTTTAACACTGTAGATAAGGTCACAAAATTAAAAAATATAAAACCCTGGATACAAGTTTTAACTCTACTATTTATGGGTTTTACAGCTTCAAACAAGTTGTTAAACATCTTTGGGCCTCTGTTGTTAACTCATTAGTAAAATGGACTTAATAATAACTACAGCATATGCTATAAATATAAAATATAAAAATGTAGACAGAAGGTTACATTCACACACACACACACACACACACACACACCCTACACCTGCTTTTTCATGACATGCTCTAAATTTTGGTGACAGAAAATCCTAAATTGAAATAAAGATTATACTGAACTTCAGCCAAATGGCCAGATCTGAAGTATTATTCTTTTGTTTTAAAGTAGGAAAGTTTGAAATTGAGTTATCACCTATTCATGCTTACATAGGTGAGTTAAACATTAGGACCAAGCCTAACTTAGGAAAAAGATCAGTCATCTTTGTCATAAAAGATATCTGAAAGTGAATAAGTAGCCCAACTAATTTTTGGTGTTGTTTTAGTCAGTTAATTTTAGACTGAGAGATGTTTTAAACTCTTAATTCTAAGGCTATCATGACCAAGGGATTAATCTTATTTAGAGAATGAAACAGAGACATCAAGCAAATATTAACTAGTATAAAAACCACTGCCTTCCAATACCTATTTCCCCCTTTTCTTCCGGTTAGTACCAGAACCCTCTGAGTTTTCACCGGATGCACGGCTACCCTGCTGGGAACTCTGCTCCAGCCTCCTTGCAGCTAGATAGGCCATGTGATGAGCTCTGGCCAATGAGGTGTGTGAAATTTCCAAGCCCTTGAAAGAAAACTGCCCACTCTTAATCTCCTTGTTCCTCCTTCTAATGGAGTAGAACCTAGTCAAAGTGGTGATAAACTATCTCTGAGCATGTGAGAAAAGTACTGTACTTTACACACACACACACCCATACCCACCCCCCCCACACACACACACATACATAGAGATTTAATAAAAGTGGCACCATTTTACATTTTTGCAAATCACTTTAATGTCTAGATAACTGACAAAAAAGAAGACTGCTAGATTCTCAGAACTGTTTCCACATTCAAAATGTAATATTGTTATATAATCTCTGCACATCTCCACTGTTGCTCATGACAGAATTAAGAATAAAAACAGTATATACCATTTTCATATTGTCATGAAGATAGCTTTAACCTCACAGACCCCTTGAAAGAATATTAAGGAGTCTCCAAAACACACACTTAAGATAACAGTTTGCTTAATCTAAAGCTGATAAACCTAGAAGGAAAATTATAGAATTAAAAATAATTGTAAAGAGATAGAAATGCAGATTCTCAAGACAAGGTGATGATTTTATTTAGACAGTAACAGAGCAAGATTATTACCCAAATACAATGTCAGATTCTCATATAAAATATACTGATATTTTAATGCTTTAAAACACTTTGGATTGTGTTTCACTACCAAAATTTTAACATTTTCCAAATGTCTGACTTGCTTTAAAACTAAAAAAAAAAACCAACTCATATATATTGTTAACTCTTTTCTTAGAGAGAGAGAGAGAGAGAGAGGAAGGGAGAGGGTAAGAGAGAGAGAGAGAAACATAGATGTTAGAGCAGAACATCTATCAGCTGCCTCCTGCACTCCCCACATCAGAGATGGAGCCCCCAACCTGGTCACGTGCCCTGACCTGGAATTGAATCGCCAACTTTTCAGTGCATGGAACTATGCCCAACCAACTGAGCCACACTGGCCAGGACTATATTGTTAACTACTGAAGTTTTAGACCAGTGAGCTAGGCAAAGACTTTAAGAATACACTTGTATGTTTAATTTATGATGCATACCTGTTGTAGTATATAATGGAGTAATAAGAAGTCTCATGAACAAATTCATCAACTATAGGTTCAAATAAACCTACCTCTTCGGCTGCTGCTTCTGAAAGCAAACCTTCCTTCTGGGCGCAAGTCACATGGAAGTAGGCTCTGCACATCCCTGCATCACAGCTAATGCAAACTCCAGTTCTAGCAAAACGAGCGTCTTCACAGAAGCTACACTCCTGCAATGGAACAAAAGGAAAGTGCTCAGAGTACAAATATTTCCAGAACAAAGGTAGCATTCTCATACAGAGCTCTACAAAATACAAAGAGTGAACCAATTAAAACAACAATGAGGTATCACCTCACACCTGTCAGAATGGCCAGCATCAACAAATCATCAAACAAGTGTTGGCGAGGGTGTGGAGAAAAGGGGACTCTAGTACACTGCTGGTGGGAATGCAGACTAGTGCAGCCACTATGGAAAACAATACGGTGTTACCTCAAAAAATTAAAAATTGAACTTCCATTTGACCCAGTGATCCCACTTCTAGGAATATACCCTAAGAAGCCTGAAACACCAATCAGAAAGAATATATGTACCCCCATGTTTGTAGCAGCACTATTTACAATAGCTAAAATCTGGAAACAGCCCAAATGTCCATCAGTAGACGAATGGATAAAAAAGCTGTGGTACATATACACAATGGAGTACTATGCAGCTGTAAGAAAGAAAGATCTCTTATCCTTTGAGACGACATGGAGGGACCTGGAAAGTGTCATCCTAAGCAAAACAAGCCAAACAGAGAAAGACAAGTATCATATGATCTCACTTATTTGTGGAATATAATGAACATAACAATCTGAGGAATGGGGTAGCCCTAGAGACGTAGAAGTGGGGTACAGACTGACTATCCCCAGAACAGGGGATGGGAGGGGGAGATAAACCACAGAACTTATATGCATGTATGCATGAACAACGGACATGGACAACAAAGCTGGGGAGAGGGCAGGGAGGGAGGGGGACGGGGGAATCAGTGGGGGAAAAGGGAGAAACATCCGTAACAAAAATAAATAAATTAATTTAAATTTAAAAACAAACAAAAGCAAACAAAGAGTGAACCAACAGTATATCAATACAAACAATAACAGTAGGCAAGCCAAGAGTTCATATGAAATAAGTAATTCTCTGTGTGATTCAAATAAACCAAAGTTCCACTGACATAATGACAACAATAATGGTATTTGAGGGCTTACCATGTGCTAGGCACTATTCTAAGCACTTGACACATATTAATAGCATTTGACAGTATTCTACACTAATATGTGAATGAGGTACTACAAGGATTCCCATTTTACTCCTGAGAAAGTTTAGGTGAAGACAGGTTAAGAAATCCACTCAAAATAACACAGGAAATAATTGGGAACCATTCATCAAACCACAGCAATCTTACTTTACATTCCATGCTCTTAACCATGAAGCTACACTGATAGAACAATGTAATGCTGCTTGGAAAAGTGAATAAAAATGAATAAAAAGTCAGAGAAAATGCATCAAAAGATCTAAGCAGTACAATCAAAGAGATCATGCATTTTAAAAATATCTTTAAGAAACTTAAAAGTAGTCTTAAATAAACAATTTGGTGAAATCAGTAGTGGGACACAATATAGAGTCAATTATTTATATTATTTTTGTATGCAAAAGGAAAAACTATAAAACTAAAAGTATAAATTGCTGAAATTACCCCAAGTCCCCTCCAAATTTATTTATTTTTTCCTTTTAACTATCTTAACTAGAGAGAAAACAAACAAACAAAAAAAAAATCTAGTCTCAAAATACATACTGCTCTGGTAACAGGAATCTTTATCAAGGAAAAACTTGCTAACTGGTGGAAGACTTCCAGCAGACAATTAAGGAAGTACTATTTAGTAAATGTATTCTAAGTAAATTAAATATGAGAGAAACATATCAAGGGAAAAAAATTTCAGTAGGCACTAAAAACATCGTTATAATACTGTAACAGTTAGTGACTACCTACTGGGTAGACATCACCAGACGGACACCTCAGCCATGAATGAAAACAGCAGGAACAGGGCTCTGGGTACTGATGTGAAAACACTCTCAGATCCTGATACTTTCCTGCCTAGGGAAGGGTCTTTTTCCAATAAGAGTAGAATGTGGCCCTGGCCAGTTTGGCTCAGCGGTTGGAGCGTCGGCCTGCGGTACAGAGAGACCCAGGTTCGGTTCCTGCTAACGGCGCGTACCTCGGTTGCAGTTTGTCCCCGGCCCTGGTTGGTCGTGCGGGTGGCAGCCACTCGATGTGTCCCTTCACGTCGATGGTTCTCTCTCTCTCTTCCTCTCTCTCCCTCCCGCTCTATCTGAACAAAAAATGGAAAAATGTCCTCGGGTGAGGATGAAAAAAAGAAAAAAAAAGTAGAATATGTATGCCATGTAATACCAGCAAATAGTATTCAAACCATGATACCGAAAAAAACAGGAGAGAGAGAAAATAGAGAGAAGGAGCCGGGCCACAGCGGCTCAGTGGTTGAGCGTTGACCTCTGCACTGAAAGGCAGCCAGCTGGATCCCTGGTCAGGGCACACACCTGACTTGCAGGTTTAATACCCAGTCAGGGAGCCTATGGAAGGCAAGTGATCAATGTTTCTCTCTCGTGTCTATATTTCTCTCTCTCTCCCTTCCTCTGACTAAGCATGTCCTCAGGCGAGGAATACAAAAAGAGAGAGAAGGCAGTAGAGAAAAAGAAAAACTAAATTATTTTTAAAATGTCAACACTATGAACCAAACCAAATTGTTTAGAATAGTTTTCTGAGCAATTTAATGTAATGTGACAAAATTGAGCAAGGGATTTAAGAGTGAATACAAAGAAAAATTTCCTGACAATAAAGTTTTATAACAGTATAGAACAACCGATCAGAGAAAATTGAATATTCCTCTAATGCCTAAATGATTTAAAATGCTAGGGAACTAAGCAACTGAGAACACAGGGGAGAAAGTAATCAGGATTAGGAACTGGGTAGACAGTGTGGTCTAGAAAGGCTGTCCCTGTTATAATTCACAGCTGTTTGATTTCACAGAGAAGCTGGAGAATACATAATTTTCTACTCCATTTCCTAGTAATACTTCAAAATCAAGTGATAATGAAAAAATCAGCTGACAATTGGACATTTAATGACTCTTCAGTCTAGAGGTCATTGCTGGCTTCAGTTATATAAAATAGTATCTAGTTACTATCTTTTTGTTCCTAGATTTATATTTATGATAATAATGTATACCAATTAAAAATTGGTATACAAGCCGGTTCCTTCTAGATCTGTGCTTGTCAATTATGGAGCTGCTATCAAAAGTAGTAACTTCTACTTCCAATAATGATGGACTAGGTAATTTGTATTCTTGTGGCTTAACCAGAAACTGTGGACCTTAAAGGCACAGAGAAGTAACAAGATAGTGCAGAATTACCTGAGGACCAGGAAAGTAAGTTCAGTGCTTGGGCCCACTTTCTGCCCTGGGGTCTTTAGCTAATACTGGAGGGCAAAGCTGCAGACAGTTTAACAAAAATTACCCAAACTAAAGCACAAAAGTACTGGAGTGCAAGGGGGTGCAGGGTGGAGCATGGGGGTGGTTAGTGCCTAAGGAAGATATTCTGACTGTAAGAGCAGAAACTGTCAAATTTCTAAATGTCCAATATCAAAATTTTTCTACAGTCTCTAAGTTTCCCACACCACCTTTAATGTGTTACTTATGCTATTCAAGAGTCTTCCTTCACAATTTCCCAATAAATAGTAATGGAAAAAGAACATATTGGAGCTCAATTAATTCTAGTATTCCAGGGAGTCTGTAGTAATTATATACCTGTTTAAATTAATAAGTGGGTATTTTTAACATTTATAATCCAAAAGGTCAGTCAAAAAAACCTATTTATTTATTTTAAAGAGAGAGAGAAAGAAACATTAATGTGAGAGAGAAACATCGATCTGCTGCATTCTGCATGCCCCCCACTGGGGATGGAGCCTGAAACCGTGCATGTATCCTGACCTGGAATCGAACCAGGACCTCTCAGTCCATGAGAGGATGCTCAATCCACTGAGCCACAACAGCTGGGCTAAAAACCAATTCATAAACAATCAAGGCTAAGAATCATTTGCTCGACGGGTTATGTAGTCATAACAATAAAACCAGTCCTTGAAATCTGAGCAAAATAACAAGTGCTTCCTATACTCTTTTTCACTATTTTGATAAATTCCACTCCAAAAGTAAAGTAAAAAATTGATAAAAAATTATTTGATCCAACTAATTAAAAATAAGGATTTGTTCTGAGAACTCACTGTATACTAGGCAATGTGTTAAATGTCAGGGAAGTAGTCGTAGTATCAATTACCACTTTATCCTGACAGGTTATTCTAAATTAAAAATACATGGAAGAATTTATACATTTTTGGCTTTCTGAGAAAATGAATATAAATAATGATTTAGTGCTAACTGTTATACAAACAGCATGATTAGCATCTCTGCAGTCAGTAATATAAGTAAAAAGCCATATAAACTAATAAGTAAAAACTTAATATTTTAGACATCAAAAACAGTGTCTCACCTTGGCACCATATTTGGAATAATTCATTTCAGTTAGTGTTACTGGTCGTAATTTGTCAATATCTCCAAATGCTACTCCAGGAACATACAGGGCACAAACAATGTGAACCCATCTGTAAGAAAAGAACATATGATTTTTCTTATCAAACCCTTTTATAAAATGTCCACAAGGAAAATGCACATAAAACATACACCATCTCAGATAACTACTGAGAAAGTTCTATGGTCAGATTTCAAAATCTCAGACATATAACTGAAGAATATGGAACACATATAGAATGATGCTATTTTGTTACAGAACGAGAGACTGCAATGAGCACCGCCTTCCCAGCTGCACACTAACAACCATAAGTGCCTTTCACTTAAAATTCACTGATCTTTGCCCTCTTAGTCTTAAATGTTTGCACAAAACCATTAATCAAATGAAACAAAAAATCTTTTTCATATGCGTGAAAAAAATATTCTCTATTTTAAGAACTTTGAAAATGGAGGGTCCTAATTTAAGAACTTTGAAGTTACTCTACAGTAATCAGGTAAAATTGTTCTTGTTACATTTTTTCTAGAGGGTAATCCTTAAGGACATATTTTCAAACAATTTTTAGTGTGCACCTTGACTTTCTTTCCAGGTTACAACTGATGGCTAGAAAACTGTACAGAACAGTTATAGCGATATAAGAAAGTCATATTTCATTCACTCATCTCTTCACCATACAACCTATGTGTTATAAAACAGTCCCCACATACAAATTTTTTAAAGTCTGACTGATGCTGCAACACTAAACAAAGAATGCTCAAAGTTTCAGTGCACTAAAAAAGAACAAATAAACACCAGTTGATTCTAACTCTGTTTTTGTTTTTTGTTAACTGCTCTGAACCTTTTTTATATATTAGGCTCTGTTTCTGTATGCTTATAACCAAACAAATACGGATCACTGGATTTTCAAATTTAAACAGATCTGTACCACTTCTGTAAAAAAGAGGGTAAAAATGAGATGTATCACACCTCTCTTACCCTTGTGAATATATTAACAACAAATTCTGCTTTATCACAGGAGCCTATGATTGCTACATGGTTCTGTTTTGTGATGCACTATGTGTTTTAACGAAATAAAACTAAGAATCATTGTATAGAGGTACTTGGGAAAATAGTTACACATCTTTAAAAAAAATTTTTTTTTTTATTGGAATAAAGTCCAAGGTTTTGAGATTGTTCTTGATAGAATGTTTTAATCCACCCTCCCAAAGGCATCCTGTGGAGTTCAATATAAAGATACACATCTGCAACAAGCAGCTTTCTCGATTTAATTTACGCAGTTTTTTCATGCTCCACTGGTGTAGTAAATGCTGCTGTACCCTACAGGAGCTTATCTTTGATAAATCCAACAGCTGGCTGCTCACTTCATACTGACCTTCTTAAAATGTTTCAGTACAAGTCATGCAAGTACTACAGATATAAACTGCCATTTCAGTGTGATTGGCACACAAGGGTATCATTTCCCCCAACCACTCATGAGAGGATGCCAACATGCATCTTTATTAAAATGCATATCAAAAAGCTGAGGCAATGTTGCTCCTTATTAATACCTGTTGTGAAAAACTTTTTGTTCATTTGTTTAGCTGCACATGCCTTAGAACTTTGTGATTAAGGCAAATCAAGAAATCAAAAAGGAATAATCTTCCTTGTTACTTTACCACCCATTTTGCTTGGAGCTATGATGACAGATGTTGATTGGGGAAAGGGGCAGAAAACAAGCACCACATAAAACCACCAAAACACAAAGAGTCAGACTTGTCATTCTAGTATAGAAACTATTAATAGGTTCTTTTAAATTCACATATTTTAATAAAGCAAAATAAGGAGAAAAATACATCACAAAAGACTCATTTCAGAATAGGAGCTATTAATACTAGTCAAATTAGTCCAATTTTATTCTGAAATGCTTTGAATTTGTAGTGCCTTCACAACATATAAAACAAATTCAAGCCCTGGCCAATTTGGCTCAGTGATTAGAAAGCCAGCTGTGGACCAAAGAGTCTCGGGTTCAATTCCGGTCAAGGGGATGCACCTGGGTTGCAGGTTCGATCCCAGGCCCTGGTCAGGGTTGTGCGGGAGGCAACCAATCAATGTGTCTCTCTCACACTGATGTCCCTCTCTCTTTATTTCTGTCTTTATCTCTCTCTCTCTCTCTTTCCCTCCCTCCCTCCCTCCACACCACTCTATCAAAGTCAATAGAAAAATATCCTCGGTAGAAGATTAAAAAAAAAACAAATTCAATTGCAATATGTTATTTTCAGTCCCTCATTTCTTCATTCACCAATTAAACACCAGGTATCTGCTAGGAACAGAGCACCACAGGCAGTCTGGAAGTCATGACAATGAACGTGACCTGCTTGCAGTTATCGTGCTGTCTCTAGATACTAGAGTGTGTTTAATATTTCCCATAATCAGGTTTATTAAACCACTTAAGACAGGGTAAAATACTTTAAGAAATAAAATAAAAATTTAATGACAAGAATATACTGACGGTTTTCTCACATTCAATTACATCATTTTCTACCATCAGAAACAGGGAAATAAGTCTAATTAGCCCATGTGATAGAGGTCAATTTCAAAACCTTTTCATTCTTTCCTTTCACTGTTCTTTCTTTTCCATTTTCCATGTGCAGCTAGAATACTAGATGCCTTGCCAAATCTTCTTGTCTTTCTTTTGCCTTGAAACAAGACCTATAACTTCCACTATAGCCTATAGGTGAGTGTGGACATAAACATAAATAAATTGTTCAAATAGTAGAAAGAGCTTTTGCCAGACTGCACAATCAAGGGAAGTGCTTATAGATATAAGGCCCACGGAGTCGATGCAAATATCTCTCAGTAAGTCTGAATGGTTAAGGAGGCCTCCCTTTTCTTCACTCAGAAACAACTTTATAAGTTGTTTTGTGGATTGTGATAGCATGAAGAGACATCTACTTTAAAGATATTCAATAGAACTTTCAAATTATTAACAAACGAACAAACAAAAATTCTCCTCCCTGAAAGGAAGTTCTATGTTTTCCAAAGTTGCCTTATTTATTCACCACAATTTACCTCCATAAACTTCAACTCTCAGAACTGAAGAGTTACCAGAAAGACCTTAGGCAGTGGGCACTCTATGATTACATTAAATTAGTAGAATAATATTTTAATAAGAAAGCGCTAGCAGCAGCAGCAGCAGCAGCTGAACTAAGGTGACATTCAGTGAGCACTTAATATGTTTTAGAGACTGTATAAATGTTTTACGTGAATCATCTCATTTCATCTTCTCAAAGTGCTAAAGGAAACTGAGGCACAAAAAGGTTAAAAAGCTTCAGTAAAATCACAGTTGCTAAAAAAAAGTACAAGAATCCAAATACAGGGAGTCCAACTTGAAAGCATCCACTTTATTTGTTTTGTTTTGTTTTTGTGGTATGTGCCCCTAGCGGGAACCAAACCCAGGACTCTATGGTCCGCAGGCCAATGCTCAACCACTGAGCCAAACTAGTCAGGGCAAAAGCACACACTTTAAATGCAGTACTAGCTCTTCCCAAAAGCAGCCAGAGGTGACCTCTGAAAATGGTTTGCTATTCACTTGACCCAGAAAACCCCACAAAATCATACAAATCAAGAGGTTCAATTCTTCGTTTTCACTTTAAGAACACTAGGGAGACTGCCCAGGCCATCAAAGACATGCATATTCGAAGGCCACCAAGTATCTGAAGGATGTCACCTTACAGAAGCAGTGTGTGCCTTTCCATAGTTACAATGGTAGAGTTGGTAGGTGTGCCCAGGCCAAACAGTGGGGCTGGATGCAGAGTCAGTGGCCTCAAACCTGCTGAGTTTTTGCTGCACATGCTTAACAATGCAGACAGCAATGCTGAACTCAAGGGTTTAGACACAGATTCTCTGGTCATTGAGCACATCCAGGTGAACAAAGCTCCCAAGATGCAGCGTAGGATTGCAGAGCTCAGGGCCAGTTAAGCCACACATGAGCTCCCCCTGCCACACCGAGACAGGATCCTACTGAGAAAGAGCAGGTTGTTCCTAAACCAGAAGAGGAGGTTGCACAGAAGAAAAAGATATCCCAGGAGAAACTGAAGAAACAAAAACTTATGGCCTGGGGGTAAATTCAGCATAAAATAAAGACTAATAACAGTAAAAGCAGGAAAAATATATATATAATAAATGCAGTACTAAATTCCCTAATTCTAGGCCACAGTCAGTCCAAACATAAAAAAATGCCCGTGTCTATGATATAGCCCACAGACTCATGTCAACACATCAAATTCTTTGTTATATATTTCTTTTATTTTATTTCTGGGATGGGCAATGAGAATAAAGAGGTAAAAAGTTTAACCTTTTTTCTACACATCGACACACAGGGTTCTCCGAGTTTATGGTAAAGTGTGCCCCCACAATGTTATATGACAACATTTCTCAAGGGCCTACGTACCAATTGAGGCAAAAATGAGAAAAGTAAGTAAAATATTTCTTTTTTTTACTTTACTAAAGTAATATTTATTACATTTAAAATCCGATCCTTTATTTGGGGACAGAATGTATTCTACCCTTTCCAATGCTAAAATATGAGAAATGATGGTGATTATTTTTTATAGGTTATTTTGTTATTGTTAAAATATTAAACAAGTTTGTTGAAAATACTAAAATGTCTTTATGTTGCAAAATTAAAAAAAAAACTCAGCACCTCCTTTTTTGGGGGGTGGGGGGAGATGGGAGGTGGTGTGGGGAGTAATCCACCAAATATAAAAGATTGGGGACTACCCTTACATTTCAGTCATCCATCCATATGGTGGTCTGTGGGGAGAAAACATGAAAGACAGCAACACTATACTGATGACAAACTGCTCAGAGGTGATAATAAAGATGAGTGTGAACACAGCAGTGAAAAGAACATAGGCCTGAGCCAGTTAACAATGTATTGCCTCTTAGCTCCAAATCCACCTTTCCACATCTGCTCTGCAAAAATGGACAGAAGCCGTCCAGCAAGCATGTCTGCTTTACAGTGAGCATGATGTTAAGCCTTCTTAGAGAGGTGGAGGACATTGCAGGAGGAAAGGGCTTCTCAGCAGCAATGGAGGATGGGAGCCCTGCCCCAACCACATGCGTCATCCCTCAGTGACCTTGCAGGCCTGGACTGGAGATCACTTTTCTGTGGCTCTCGAAACACAGACACCACATATAGGGCCTCAGCTTCCTCTGCAACCTGTACTCAGCCACCTGTACTTGCCAAGAAACAGATTAGTTCTGGTCAAGGCAAACCATTAGACTTCTCTGCCATCCAGTAGGCTGCACCCTCATCTTCTCCAACAAGGTCGGAACGCCAGCCTGGGAGAAGGGGCTACCCTTCCACATTTAGAATTCTTTTATATCTTATGGTTACTTTTTTTTTTTTTTTATCATAGCTTAATAATTCTTTAAATTAAACTTCCCCTTTTAAATCACTATATGGGTCTTATCTTCTAATATATTCTTGGAGTCAAAAAGTATGGGTTCAAACTTGACTATTCACCAGCTTGTGGTTTTGAGAAAATGAAAATTACTTAAGTGATCTGAGCCTTAGGTATATAAATAAAATAAAATAAAAATTTTTTAAATATATATATAAAAAAATAGGTACTACATCTGTAAAATCAGAAACTTTATAACTCGTCTCACCATAGGGTTAATATTAGGATTATAATGGGTATAAAGGCAAATGTAGGTACTCAGTAAATGGTCTTTCCTCCTCCCTGCTCTGATCTTTGGCCTACTGTTCATTTACTCTTTGCCAAGAAGATACAAAAAAGTGATCGAATGAAAGGGTGTAACTCAGAAAGTCAGAATTTAGAATAGTCAGAGGCAGATACATTGTAAAGCAGATATATCAACCCAGCAGAACTGTGACATCAACCTGCCAGCATCTGTCTCCTTGAAGATTCCATCCTGATTAGGACACAGTTCACAGCTGGGGGAGACACCACATTTACAGGCATCACAAAACCATGGTTCAGTGGAGTTTTCAGAAGCCGAACTCATAATAGAGTCACTCTCTCCATCAACTCCATAGCAACCTGAAAAAAAAAAAAGGCATGATTAATCTATTTTTTTAACTTACATTTATAAAATCACCAAAAGAGAAGGAAAGAGATATAGAGAAAAATTCTGAAAAAATAGTTTATAATAAGGATATTAATGTTAAAACACAAAGATGAAGTCATTTTATAAAAGATACTTTTTCACCTACCATAGTACATGCAATAAAATAAATGACTTTTTAAAACAGTTTTAGACCTACTGGAAAAGCATTAGAGAAAGGAAAAACTTTACAGTTCTTTTAAAAATGTTTTGATTTAAAAACATACTTAAATATGAGTTTTCACTAGTAAAAAAAAAATCAGACTGAGTCTAGGAACTATTGATTAGCAAATATATTTTGAGCTCCCATTCTACAGGACACTAAAATATATATAAAACACCATATTATGCAAAACTTTAAAGCCTCTGATCTAATTTTGGAGGTGGCAACTTAAAGTGCAAACTCATACAACCATACATGCACAATAAGTGTCAGTAAAAGGAAAATAATACAGAAGCATGTGCACCACCCCTCACACACATCACATACATAAAGAAAGGCTATAGAACATCTGAACAGTTCAGAGTAGAGTTAGACAAGCCGAGTTCCATTAAAAAATGAGCCAATCTCTAGTATATGAATTTTTTTAAACATTTATAATTCTATCTTCTGTTAACATTTATTCATAACTGAAATAAATGAAAACATTCCTCTTCTCATTCACTAATAACTCATATTCTGAGAGGGCTGGGCATTTTTTTTTTTTTTTTTTTTGATCTCTTAAGACACATTTATTACCTCTCAAGATATGTTGCTTCTACGGAGAGCCAAATATCAACCATCTCAGGATACTTTTGACCAGGTTTATTCTAAGAAGGTAGTCTTAGTGACACCTCCCATAAAATAAAGACATTAGAAAAACCTCCATGAGAAATATCTAAATAATGATCATGTCTCAAAAGGCTTTACCACTTAGGTAAGTTTATATATCCAATGTAAGATCACATGAGTATTTGAACTGGTTATACACTAAACAGACAAAAAAACCTAAATTGGAGAGTGCTTTCTTATAACCACCAAAGATACCCAAATTAAAATAAATAAATAACTATATAAATAAGTCATCAGCCCGCGGACCAATGAGTCATGAGTTTGATTCTAGTCAAGGGCATGTACCTCGGTTGTGGTTTGTCCCCAGCCCTGGTCTAGGTCATGCAGGCAGCAGCCAGTCAATGTGTCTCTCTCACATCGATGCTTCTCTCTCTCTCCCTCTCTTCCTCTCTCTCCCTTCCACTCTCTCTGAACAAAAATGGAAAAATATCCTCAGGTGAGGATTAAAAAAAAAGAAAGAAAGAAAAAGAACAACACACAACTAGTAAATAATTTAAAGTAATAACATTAATTTACTAGATGTCATTAATAGGTCAACAGTCATGTGTACGTATTTCATTCATATATTACTATCATTCAATACAGACTAATTAAAACAATCAGTATGCAGAAAACTAAAAGTTGTTTTGCAACTACAATTTACATAAGTTGCCTCAACAATCCAGTGGTTATTGTCATCCTTAAGCTCATCAAGGCTGTATGGTAGTGAAACTTAACATGAAGTCATATAAAAAAATACCAAAGAAAAGATGTTAAAGAAACTAGACTAGAGTATACAAGATAAGCAAATTAAATTGTAGTTGGTACTCATCTTCATCACTTCTGTTGAGATATACATTTTTAAAATGAAAACTCATAAAATTAAAAGAAAATACAATGTCCTTCTTGGGAGCAGTTATTATTGATTTTCACCAACAAAAGACAATTTTTCAGTAAAGGCAAGAATAAGCAAAATATTCTATTTAAAGAAAAATCATAAAACAAAATAAAATAGTCAATCTGCTTTCGCAAATGGTTATGCAATAATACAAAGGAAAAATGTCTATTTTCTTCACAAAATAATGTTCCCTGTGAATCAATTCTTTTATCTGTATTAACACAAAGGAGGCAATTACCGAAATAATAAATCCCCAAAGGGGCTATCCATTTTATTATTTCTGCTCACCAAAATCAAAATAAATCACAGCATTGTCATTTTTAGATAAAGCAAAATTTCAATTCTATTTCTTGAAGAATATACTACACACATAGCAAACATTTGCACAGAGATTTAACCACCTAGGAACAACCTCCAGAATGATTTCTGAGAACCTCTCCTAGAAAATTTCTACTTGTAAGCTAGAAGACTGAAATCGTGCAAGCTCAAAACACAGAAAGTGGATAAGTATTTCTTTTTATTTTTTTTATCCTCACCCAAGGACATTTTTCCATTTTTTATTCAGATAGAGTGAGAGGAAGAGAGAGAGAGAGAAACATTGATGTGAAAGGGACACATCAAGTGGCTGCCACCAGCATGACCCAACCAGGGCCGGGGACAAACTGCAACCAAAGTATATGCCCTTAGCGAGAACCAAACTCGGGTCTCTCTAGACTGCAGGCCAGTGCTCTAACCGCTGAGCCAAACCAGCCAGGGTGATAAGTATTTCTTCACTGCCCCTGAAAAATAAACCACAATGTGTAATCACCTTTAGAGAGTTTTTCTCTTGTCTTTCACCTGCCACTTTTCCCAGATTTTTTTGCCATATCTTTTGGGTTTACTCAGCAAAGTTATAGCACTTACTATCCACTCTAATCCATTTTAATTAGTGACTAAATACATTTTTAAATCTTTTTTTCTTTCTTCCATACAAAACAGAATTTAAACTACCACAAAACAATATTTATTCTATTTTACCTATCTAATTCTGAGTAGAATATGCAAAAAAAATGCATCTTCAATATGATTATTGGAAAGGTTTTTTTATATAAGTAAACATAAAATGAAAAATATACAGACATAAAATCCATTTCAGATGGATTAATCATGTCAAATGAATAAACACAGAAAACATGTTTCTCTGGCTATCTAATTAGGATCAACATCTAAGTAACACATGCAACTAACTCAAATTATAGGTAAGAAAAAATAATATAAAATGTATTTATAATTGTTTTGAATTATACAAGGGTATAGATAGTCCAAATAAGTGCAATTTTTCCCCGTTTAGCTTGTCACGAGGGACCAAAAGACCTGAAGTTTTCTATCTTCTGGATATATAACTACAATTCTGAGACTGAATTGCCTCATCTGTAATATGTATTTAATTATATCTATCCTAATTATCTCTCAGCAAAGAAAGGAAAAAAAATAGAAACACAAAGGTTGCCATCTAAAAATTTAAAACAATTTTAGTTATTTAACATCCTGTCGCTAAACCTCTGATTATGATATCCACTGAAAGATTTTAAAGTGAGTAATGCTGTTTATGAGAAAAGAATTGTACATGACATCTGTAAGAAATATATCCTAAAGTATAAAAGAACCAACTTTACTACCCAGTAAACACTCATGCAAATCTATTTCTACATATACTGAGAAATAAAAATGGTCTAGGGCTAGGCTAACAGCAGAATGAAAAATAAACAAACGGGTGGAAAGCATCTCTTGGCAGACCTGATCTGATTGAATGCATAGCAACTAAACTTAAGAGTAATTGCTGGCAAGTGCACTGCCTAATGCTCTGTTATGTACTGTGACACATACCTGACATTTGTCTTCAGACACGGTGCAATCAGTGTATCATGATGACTGACAGCACAGTCAGGGGTACCCTAGTATTACAAGTCAGTTACAAGATCTTGTCACAAAAGTGTTTATGCTGACAGTTTGGAACCCTTCTATTTTAAAAAGAAAAGAGATTTATCTACATTTTGATGAAGTAAGTCCTCCAAAAACTAATTAGACAATCATGCATTTAAAAAGCAACTTCTGAAGTACTACCTCTTAGCAAAACCTCAATTTAAAACCCTCTCTTAATTGTGATTACTTAAGGAGTATGTTTAAAAAGAAGGAGGACTAGCCCTGGCCAGTTTGGCTCAGTGGTTAGAGCGTCGGCCCACAGACCAGAGAGTCCTGGGTTCAGTTTCCGCTAAGGGCACATACCTCAGTTGCAGTTTGTCCCCGGCCCCAGTTGGGGTCCTGTGGGTGGCAACCAGTCAATATGTGTCTCTCACATCGATGTCTCTCTCTCTCTCTCTCTCTCTCTCTTTCTCTCTTTTCTCTCTCTCTCTCTCTTTCCCCCCACTCTCCCCCCTGCTCTATCTGAAGATAAATGAAAAAAAAAAAAAAAAGTCCTTGGGTGAGGATAAAAATAAATAAATAAAAAGGAGGAGGAGGAGGAAAAGAAGAGAAAAAAAAGTAAAGAAATACACCAAAACACTAACATGGTTATCTGCATATTAGGACTAATGGTTTTTCTTTTCTCTGTTCTCTATTTCCCACATTTTATTTAATATTTGTGTATTATATTATGATGGGCAAATTGTTCCTCTCTAAAATAAAACATTCAAGATGTTTAGGATTAGCCATGAGATATTTAAGGGAAAGTTGCATGACTGAACTATACACTATGGAAATATGTCAATTAAGCACCTGAAGTTTAATTTTATTTATTTAATTTCTGTTATGTTTTAGAAAGTTTCCCTTTCTCTGGATTAATTAATTTTAGATGAAAATTCACTTAAGGAGTTAAAAATTAGTAAGAAAGATCTACAAATATGACTGTATAAAAAAGAACATTCTAAACAGTGAAAAATAGCACAAAGTGAAAAGGTACAGGACGGGGTGGAAAAAATATTTGCGAGGATGGAAAATAATTTTAACATACAAGCAGGCAAAGGATTAACATTAAAAAAAGAAGAAGAATTCTAATTAGTCAATGAGAAGACAAGTATAACCTATTAAGAAATGACAAAGAAAATGTAAAGCAAGTGACAAAATGAAATGCAAATGGCCTGTTGGGGAAGGTCATCACAAGGTTGACCCAGGAGCTGGACCTGGGCAACTGGAGGCTTCCCACTCACTCCCCTGTGTTTGGAATGTGTTTCCCTGCGTTAGAAGCTACCCAAGGACATTGACTTGAGAAAGAAATGTGCCGATGGGATTATCAGGGCTTGGTATATGGCTGACCCCAGTTAAGGCTTCTCTGTAAACTTTTAAGATTTTTGCATCAGTGGGTGCAAAAAACTTCGGCTTGTGGCTGCCTATGACTAGCCTCCTAAATTCCTTGGCTTATTAAGCCTGCCACCTACCAATCTGGAGTGATCTGCCTTTTCTTCAGTGGCTCCCTGCCCTCCAGCATACGGGGGCCAATTTCAGATTTCACCTGGGAGGCTTTCCCATGGTTCTCCTCCTATCTCCTCCTATGGGCCAGCCATGTGTTGCCCATCCTCTGAAGTGCTGGGACCACTTTTACATCCCAGAGAGCACATCCAATCTCACACCTTTAAATAACATCTGTAGGCTGATGAGTCCGAAATTTGTATCTCTAGTCCCAACATCTTACCTATGCCCAGTTTAAAACAAAACTTATACTGTCTACCTCAAAACCTATTCCTGTCTTGGATCTCTGCAATGGTCTCCCTAAACTGTATCCCTGATTCACACCTTAGACCTGATAGACAACTTCAGTCTACTCCCAACAGTCAGAGTGATCCTTCCAAAATAAATCAAATCAGACTAATTCTCTGATCAAAACTCATGTATGTGTTCCTATATCCATCACAATAAAATCTAAAACAGGCCTGGCCGGTGTGGGTCAGTGGTTGAGCATCGACCCATGCACCAAGAGATTGCCGGTTTGACTCCTGGTCAGGGCGCATGCCCAGGTTGAGGTTAAAGCCCCAGTTGGGGCATTCAGGAGGTGGCCAATCGATGTTCTCTCTTATCAATGTTTCTATCTCTCTCTCCCTCTCCCATTCTCTCTCTCTAAAAATAAAGAAAGAAAAAAATTTTTCTTTAAATCTAAAACAGTACTATGACCTGCAAGGCCTCACTGGTTTGTCCCAATCTCTACCCCACCACTAACCAGCTCACTCACTCAGCTCCAGCCATACCAATTGCTGTGTCATTACACAAACATCCCAAGTATGTTCCCACTTCAAGATCTTGACACTCACTACTCTTTCTTCCTAGCGTGCTCTTTCCCCAAATACTCACATGGCTTCTTCCTCTCATTCTTCAGGTCACTGCTCAAATATCACCTTATCAGACAAGATTTTCTTTATCACCTTTTATAAGTGCAACCTTCTACCTATCCACTCAATCAGCTGCACCCAAAGCATTCCCAATACTCTTTGTCCTGCTTTGCTTTTCTCCATTGTCCAGATTACCACCTAACAGATATTTTATTTATTTTATTTTTTCATCGCCTGTCCCTCTTATGAACATTAAGTTCCACAAAGTCAGCAATTTCTATATTCTGTTTATTTTACATGTATAAACCTTACAGAATGCCTACCACATGGAAGGTAATCAATGAACATTGCTGCAGAAATAAAAAATGAATGAGTAATAGGAAGAGGAGACATTCCCAGAGTGAGCCTTAGCAGCCAGCGAGGGCAGCTTCATACGAAGCAAGAGGATGGGTTACACAACACAGGCCCCACAGGCCCCAGGCCGACAAGTCCAGCACACTCCCAGAACTATCTGGGAGAAGGGCTGTAATACCGAAAAGGTAGGTAAGGGCAAGGCCACAGAAGTACTGTTTTGTGGAAGTCATGGCCCTGATCGGAAAAAATAATAACTTTATCACAGAGAAACCTGGAAATCACCTTCTCACCCAAGTAATCAAAGTAACATCACTAGCAACTAGACAAATATACATAATATGATACACTGAGAGTACAATGTAACTTTTGTGACAATCCTGCCTAAAGTTCATAACCTGAATCTAATCATAAAAAAACATTGGGGAAAAAAAATTAAAGACATTCTGTGAAAGAATAGGCCTGTATTCTTCAAAAATACCATGAAACATAAAAGCTCAGGATATGTTCTAGATTAAAGTTGACTAAATTGTCAAGACAAATGAAAGCAATCAATGATCCTGGATTTATTTTGTTAGAATTGACATTATTGGGATAAGAGGTAAAATGTCAATACAGTTGGTAGATTAGAAAATAGTACTCTATCAGTGCTAATTTGCTGACTTTGATAACTATGTGCTTATGTAAGAGAAAGCCCTTCTTCTTAAGAAATACACACTGAGGTATTTAGGGGGAGAGGAGGCATTATGTCTATAGTTTACTCCCTCAGAGTTCAGGAAAAAACAAAACAAAAAAAAACTATTATATGAGAGAGAAGATATAACAAGTAGAGCAAAATGTTACTATCTGTAAAATTTGAGTGAAGAAAATATGGGTGTGCTTTGTATTACTCATAACTTTTCTGTAAGTCAGAAATTACATCAAAAGAAAAATTTTAATTAAAAAAACATATAATGAAGGTTTGAAAATTATCATCAGAAAATAATATTTTCAAGTATATTACAGTGACTCCTATTTCAGATTTAAAAGATGACCTCTGCTCTGGCCGGTTTGGCTCAGTGGTTAGAGTGTCAGCTTGTGGACCAATGGGTCATGGGTTTGCTTCCCAGTCAAGGGTACAGACCTAGGTTTCAGGTTCATTCCATGGCCCCAGACAGGGTTGCGCAGGAGGCAACCAGTCAATGTGTTTTTCTCATATTGATGTTTCTCTCTCACTCTCTCTCTCTCCCCCCTCTTCTACTCTATCTAAAAAATAAATAAATAAAATGACCTCTATATATTCTCCTTTCAAGTTCAAAATTAAAAATAACTATGAAAGAAGAAAGTGTATAATACCACTAGACTTAGAATGTAACTTTTTAAATACTGTAATGCATTCTACTGGACTAATATATTAAGACTTTTTCTACAATTAAATTTCATTTAAAAACTAAAAATAAATAATGCCATGAAAAAAAAACTATAACACTGACCATCAAAGAAATACTGTGGTTTCCACATAATAACATTTCTATTTTAATTATTTAAAAACACATTTAAAGTGGTGAGAGGTTGAAGAGGGTAAAAAAGGTCAAATATATGGCAACAGAAGGAGACTAAACTTTGGGTGATGATCACACGATGCAATATACAGATGATGTACTATATTATACACTTAAAGCTTATATAATTTTATTAACCAACATCACCCCAATAATAAAAAAAATTAAAAACACATTTAAAGTTAACATAATCTGAAAAAGAATAGCCATCATACTTTAAGGATTCAGTATGTCTTCTATTGATTGAAAATTATATGAAAATCTTAGAATAATACAAATATAGAAGAATTGATTTTACTTTTTTAAATGCAGGGTCTATCAGCCATTTCTAAAAGGAGAAAAAACAAAGCAAAATTACCTTCATGGACTGTAATGCCACAATTGTCACACTGAATTATTTCATCAGCATCTTCGCTATTATCTCCCAGACAAACACAGCAAATCATAATATGGTCCATTTTTTGAGAACTCCAGTTTTGACTCTTCTCAAGAATCAGCGAGTCCTAGTATTAAAATATATCAGAAAATCACATATTTAAATTAAAAGGTAATTTTAATAAAATTCTCACTTAACATTATTTTATGCAATTCCATAATTATGCTGCATTCTCTATTCTTGTAGTATATTACATTTGAGAAATATACCTCTTTGTCAAAGGACCATATAAATGCCCTCTAATTTTTCACTTCTCTTTAAGTCCCATATACTCTCTCATGGAAATGAGAAAACAACCATGCAACTAACAACTCTACATCTGCTTTGCCATTCTAAATTATAGTCTAACCCCTTAAACTAGGAGAAAGAAAAAATTAACCTATAAGTAATTATTAATCTTATACATCAGTTTAAAAAGTATAAAACATTGGGCTCTTACTCTTTGGAAACTTAATAATCCTACCTAGGGAAGACAAGACATACATATATTAAACAGGAATAAATCAGTAACATATAAGCAACCGTGTATGCGATGGCATAGTTATAGACTCTATAATCCTAATGTGTATAAGGGGCATTCAGAAGTTTCAAGGTCATCCAATTACTGGATGATAGATACATGAGTGCCTACCTAGGTATATCTGTGCATACAGGTACCGAAAACCATCTAGAAAAGGATCCAGGTTAAATAGTTGTAGAAGAATCAATGCACTCATATTAGGTTTATGTCAAGAAATATCAAATGTAAACTAGGTAATAAAGATACTTAGCTAATTGTAATATAAAAGGAGAAAGATATATTAATAAATATAAAAATATAAAATTTCAAAAAAGGGGAGAGTTTGCTTCTTTTAATTTAAATCTTCTGAACTTTCAAGGATAAGTTAACAAGATAATTCTTGTCATATTTAACAGATTGGGCTTAGTTTTCATAATAAAAGAGGCACCTGAGTCTATATATTTTAAGGACCTAACCATATTCAGAAACAAAATTAATAAATTAGCTACATATTGTACATTCACTAAATACATTTTTATATTAATTTTTTATATTCTTTTAAACTGACCAATATAGAAATGTAACACTTAATCATTTCAATAGCAATTTGTGACACTAAATGACATCAAATGTCACAATAATACTTTCAATATATTTCTGTGTAATACATGTAAACTTGCAATTGATCTGTAAAAAAATAAGAAAAGAGTACACAAGTCAACAAGGAGGTATGCCATTTCTCTTGAGAATTCTAGTATTCTAAAATGTTATATTTTGCTTCTTTTTGTTATAAAAGTGAGATAGATTACGGGCTTTGGACATGGCAAGCAAATACAAGTAAAAACTTCCTAAAAAGAAAACAAACTCATGTTTTACAGTACATTCATACAGTGAGCAAAACAAAAATATGCCCAGCTTTTCATTCCATTAGCCATACTTCAAATGTAATAGCATTTATCTTAGAGGCAAATGTGTGGTTTCATTCTCATCTCTCATATAATAACTGCTGAACCTTGAAGATGTAGTTTTCTCAACTCTAAAATGGGATGATAAATACCTACCTCATGAAGTTGTTGTGAGAATTAATTACATAATGTATGAAAGAATGTTCCCAAGACATGCTAGGTACTCATTCCCATTCTCCTTTCCTCTGCATTGCTTGTAGGTGGGTCAAAAGAGACACTGAGCTGGGAATCTTCTTTGGAACCCCAAAAGAAAAGTTATAAGCCTCAATGACCATCGTTACTGTAAATATTTCCCCATGGTTAAATCCAAAAAGACTTTTTTTTTTTTTTTTTTTTTTTAGAATACCATATCTAGGTTTAAAAAAAGCACAGGCTAGGGAAAGACCTAACAAACAACCAGAGTTTGATGACTGAGAGAATACTGGTGTTTATGGGCTGTGACAATATTTCTTTGCTGGAATTACAAAAATTAATCAGCCCTTGGAAAGGGTTTATCCATGTGGGGAAACAAGTAAATTTTCACGGATCAGAAAAATTAACATCAACAAGTAGCTCTAATTCAATTACTTTCCTATTTTTCTATTTTGCTCAGGGAAACAGTAAGTGGGTAAGTTGTATCTCTGCACCAATTTCTCTATATACACATTATCATTTAGAGGCAGAGATAACAGTTAACTGGAATCTTTGGCCCTCTGTTCCCATTAGAAACTCATAATAGAAATGTAATGCAAAGAGAGAGAAATGGGGAGAACTAGTGCCCCATAATAATACTACCCAATCCAATGGTTGGAAGGCAATGTTTCCACAAGAAAATCTGAATAACACATTCTCTTAAAATCATGCTCTAAGTTGTCTTTAATAGATCAAACATGGGTTTAAGCACACTTATAATCAGAATATAAAAGCCAATTTAATATCAACTTTTATTATATTTCTAAAGCTGTATATCACTTTTCAAGTTTCTGGAAAAATACTTAAGTTAAAGCTTTCACTACAAAACATATCACTTGAAAATATAATTTTTACATAAAAATAGAAATTGGGAAAGTCGGTTTTGAATGGCACAAGAGAATCACCTAGAATATAACTTGAATATTGTGGAATAATTTAAAGGATTTCTGTGGTAATTATAAGAATAAGTGAGCCCTGGCAGGTTTGGTTCAGCAGTTAGAGCGTCAGCCCGAGGATCAGAGAGACCCGGGTTTGGTTCGCACTAAAGGGCACGTACCTCAGTTGTAATTTGTCCCGGGCCCTGGTTGGGGTTGTGTGGGCGGCAACCAATCCACGTGTCTCACTCACATCGATCTTTCTGTGTCTTTCTCTCCCTCCTTGTCTATCTGAAGATGAATGTAAAAATGTCCTCAGGTGAGGATTAAAAAAAAAAAGAATAAGTGGGACACTTCTGTAAACTAATTATAACAAGTTATTTCATTTTGTTTTCCCTTGGGACTTAAATGTTATACCAAAAATGATAACATTGCCCAATGGTCTCATGACTCTGAAGTATGTTTAGTGTTCATTTATTTGTGTATTCCACATAGATGATTATAGATAATATACACAAAGAGTAAATTCTAAGTTATATGTATTTTTAATAGAAGGAAATTGCAGCACACTACATATAAAACCAGAACTAAATGAATCTATTGCCTTGAATAAGAGAAAATAATTAGTATAGCAAAAAGTTTGACCAACAATTCTTCCTCTGTGCTTTTAAAGAAGGTTAAATTCATAAGAATCTCAAGTAATTTTTATACAGTGTTATAAATTGACTTTTTAGGCCTTAGATAAATTTGTTTTATTTTGAAATGTGTAAGAAAGCAAGTGATTAATAAATAAAAAGCCCTAAACAGTGACAATTTATAAATTTCAGCAAAATTTTTACATTTTAATTAACAAATCAGATGACAATTGCCATTTCCTCACATGGCAAGACACTAATATACATTTAATATAACTGAGTCTTTTATTTAAAAAAATACTTCCATCTGAAAATTTCTATTGATATGATTTCCCATCATATATTTATCCAAAGCTCTCCTTGTAAAGTCCTAAAAATGAAAAACAGACTCTAAAAATACTACACAGCCCTCCAAAAAAGTTTACTTCAGAAAACTAAAAAGGTGAGATAACCTTAGTGAATCTCAAAGCGTCAAGATAAAAGTTTGAAACGACATATAACTGTATTCCGAGGGGATTGTTCAAACTGTAACAAATTCGAAAATACCATAAAACCACTGACAAAAGCAAGTGCCCATATGCAAAAAATGCCCAATTCTAGAACAGTAGTTCTCAAGATGTGGTCTAGGAACTCTCCTTTAGGGAGGTCCACAAGGTAAAGGCTATTTTCATAATAATACAGAGGTTGTCTGCCTTTTTCAGTCTCTGCCATGGGTGTAAGGTAGTTTTTCACAAGCTATGTGACTTGGGATAGCATTATCAACCCAGTAACTTATGTGCTTCTATATGTCTTATTTTTTGAAATTTCAGAGTTTTAATTTGAAATGGTAAATATTGATATATAAACTACATAAATAATAACTGGGATTCTCAATATTTTTTAAGAATGTACAGAGGTCCTGAGACCAAAATGTTTGGGAATCACTGCTCTAGATATTTCAAGGTCTGCAGCATAGATAGGTATGTTCAGGCCATTAACAACCAACAGTTATAAAGGGCCCCTTCTCAAAAAAATATAAAATTCCCCCAAGAAACTTCAAAATTATTCAAGTTCCTGGGTATCATTTACATGACACCCAACACCCTTTCCCTCCAACGTACTAGACATAGAGGCCAAGAAAAATGTGTATCTCCTTATAAAACTAAATATAATTCTACTAGGTATTTCTTAAGCTGTATTTTAGCTATCTCTGCTACACAGTAGTATTTGACACTTAAAGTAAAAGCAGAGAAAAATAAAACTTCAAATAAATACATAGTAACTAACGGACACTTGGCAAGGTATAACTACCTAAGACAGCTAGGAAGATACAAACATTGGCTATAAGGCAACAAAGATTACCTTTAGTCATCTTTTTACAAAATCAAGATCATATGAATAGGAAATTTAGAAACATAAGATGAAATAATAATCTCAATTGATTAGTTTTTATGAAAATTTTGTATCTAATTTGAGTAACATTTAAATAGAACTAAAGTAAAAGAATTATTGAAGAAGGTGAATAATAGTCTTTGGGGGAAAACATTTATCAAACACTCAGACAGACTATTATTCAGGAAAAATTAACTTTCTATAAGTTTTCCTACATTTCTACATAGAGTAGAGCAAAAGGAAAATAAACATAAAATAACAGAAGAGGAATTAATTTAGCTATTTAAGAAGAAACAAGGCACTTTTCCAAGAAATGCTCTGGAATCTCATTTCCTTGGGACTGTTAACCTAAATATATCAAGTCCCGTTATTCACTAAGGTCTTTTCTGGTAAGAAATAAACTACACAGCACATGTGGCCTTTAAATGCATCATAAAAATAGCCTACAACCTCTTAATATATTATATATTACAGGTTATTAAGAAATGGAAAATGAACAGATTTTATGTGGCAAATTTCTAAACATATGAAGGTATCCCCGCACCAAAGCATAAATCTAAACCACAGTGCCTCAATCATTAGCCAGCCTACGTTTGTGAATGTCAGGCCAATAAAAATGAAGAGAGGAAGTGATGCTGCCGAAGGTAAACGTATTCAGTAAGTACAGCTGGAATACTAAGTGCTGTAAAATAAACTGCAAGCACACCTATAAATCAGATATGAACAATTGGATTCTCCATAACTTCCATTTCCACAGATTGGCATTGAGAATATGGAAATACTGTACTATATTCCATATGACAATTTTCCTTTACCTAAAGAAATAGTTAAGATAGCACTGGAGGCAAGCAATACTCTTCATATGAAAGTGGATACATTAGAACTTAAAAAATGTTTATAATCTAAAATATAAACTGTTGTTTCATCTCTATTGACATATAACCCCTCACCAACTGCTATATAGTATTTGGTTAAGAAAAATCACCAAATGTTTAAATGAAACTTAATTAAGATAGATAATCACTGCTATATAAAATTTGTAAGCAAAAGAAATGTAAAATAACAAATAAAGCATAAAAAGAAAAACTTTCTACCAGTTTAACCTATTTCAATGGTATAAATAAAACAAAAAATAAGTGCTTGATAAACTGAAAGTGAATTTTCATGACTATAAACACGCTAACAAAATGCCAGACTTAATTATTGTAATTCTACATATGATGTAACAGATACATCTACAAGTGAGAAGACAACTCAATCTTTCTTTTGAAGGAAAACATATACATAAACACACAGACAAAAAGACACAAATGTGTTTGACTGAAGAGTCTTGAATGTTGCATCTTGGGCCCCATGGATAAACCTAACTTTCAGTAGTAGAACTTCAAGTGGAAGAACTGAGTCATTACTGTAGTTTTATGATAGAAATGTTTGTTTTATAATAGAAATGATTGTTTGTTTTCATTTCTTTGTAGAGAGAAGTTATTCACTAAATACATGTAAACATATGGTTTACATTTACTCCCATACATCTAAAGCAAAGATTTAGTGACCATTCAGTTGATGGTGCTACAACGGTAAAAAAAAATTACCTTGAAAATTAATCTCTAAAAGGCTGAGACAATCCTTAAGCTGTTTTCTGCCCTGCTCTAAAGTATTCTAAAAATCTAAACTTTTAGGTGGATATGAATATAAATAAGTTGAAAGAAAGGTGACTATTCTCAGAATCCACTTAGCACCATTCAGCAGTCCTATGAACAATGGGGTGAGAGGATAGAAAGGTAAAAGAAAAACCCTACCATTTCCCAAGCCTATGAATATAAAAATATTCCTCTAAATATATAGACTGTGAGCTCCTTGAGAACGATGGTTGTGAGCTCCTTGAGAACGGTGACAAATAGTAGGTACTCAAGAAAGGTTGGTTGGTTAAATGAATAAATGTTAGTTAGGGTGCTCAGTCATTCCCACAACTGTCTATAAATAGGATTTCAAGGAAGCCACTTAATATAATGAGTAGACTTGCTTAGAGAAGAATTCCCTTTACCCCAGACAGACAGATATCATAAAAATTGGGTTGATCTACCTCATTACTCTTGCTTTGAGATAGTGTCAGGCTATCATTGGTCAGTTCCTCATCATCAGCACTGTTTCTGCTAAGAACTTTACTCTTCTTCTTCTTGCAACCCCCGTCACTGGCTGGGCTGCTATGATCTTCATCATTGCCTTCATCATTCTCATCCTCATCACTCCCACTCCCCTCATCTTCATCATCCTCATTGTCTCCATCACTTCCTTCTTTCTGAGATGCAGATCTTCCCTTTCTCTTTACTACAGTAGGCCGCCAATCATTGTCATCTTCACTGTCATAGTCATCCATGTCATTCAGTTCTTCCATGGAGACAAAATCCAAAAGTGGCCGATTCCGACGAAGGTTCCACTTTTTTGGCTCACTGACTTGTTCCTCTGTGGCAGCTGTCGTGGGGACTGAAGGAGATGTGTTAACAGCAGGAGGGCTTGTGGCTGGTGTGGAGGCAGCAGCAGAAGCAGCCACATTATCAGAGACTGTTGCTTTTTCTTTCTCCTTCTCTCTCTCCTTCTCTTTCTCTTTTTCTTTCTCCTTCTCTTTTTCTTTTTCTTTTTCCTTCTCTTTCTCCTTTTTCTTTCTAGGTCTTTCTCCATTTTCCTCTTCTTCCTTCTTTTCCACTTTAATTAACTGTTTTTCTGATGACAGTATTTCTTCTTCTGCAGAATTTTTAAGTTCTTCTTCTTTTACTTTAATATCTTCATGTATTTCTTCCTCTAAAATATTTTCTTCAGAATCACTACAGGAACCTTCTCCACTGTCCTTTGAGGGGTCTTCACTTCCATTACCACTCCCTTCAGAATCTGTTGAAAATATGAGAAAAAAAAAACCACACATATGTATATACATACACACACACACACACAACGCTGACACAAATGAAACCACCAAAATCTGTAACTTGCAAAACAATATAAACAAATTTAAGTCAAATGATGGTAGACATTACTAACCTGATTAAATAATAAATCAATGAAGTTGGTGTAATGGTTTTAGTTCAGTATAGCACTAATGAAGATGAATATATGTAACTTTAAATTAAAATATGCTTTAAAAAGAGAAGCACTCTTGTGTCATATAGCACATGCTTTATTTGGTACCCCAGAGGCATTTTTTTTCTAAAAGTAAATGTCACTTTAAAAATTGGGCACCAGATTTTAACTTAATAATAGAATGCACTCCAAAATCTTCTTCCCTTATATCTTCCTTTCATAAACTATATGGACTTACAAACATTGAGTCACATTCAGAACAAAAATATCCTGGCCCAGAAAACTTTGTTTCGTTGTTTCATGCTTTGCTCAGCAAGATTCAGCATAGATATTAACAACAGTCGACTTGTACCACATCCCTAAGATACCAATCAATTTGAGAAGCAGCAAGTACACAGGTGACAAGAGACAATAGCAATGGCACAGAAACTGGAAGCTGCAAGAGAAGCAAGTTATCAATGTTCCTGCTTTCTAGGATGCTTTCTAGGATATCAATAAAAGAGTCCCCTAAACTTTCAAAAATTCTAGGCAGTAATTGCTATATCCCCTAGAATGAAAAAAATTAATGATTTTTTAAAAACTAAGCCTTGTAAATGAGCAACCATAGTAGTCACTAAAAAGATAGGCTAAGGACATTAAAGAGTTCACATAGTTCTAGACTAGAAGCCTTCTGGCAAGTCTTTTCCGTTCCTGCCTAGCACCGCCCACACGCTCTTTGCCCAGCACTGCTCAGTAACCTTCAAATCATCTTTATGCCTGATCAAATAAAAATCTAAAACATCTAGGGAGAGGGATACAGGAGAGGAGCACAAAGGAAGTAAGAAACAATCACAGTCAGGTCATGGCCAACACCAATAGTAAAATCTGCGGGGTGATGAATATTTTGCATCTATAACCAAGAAAAGAGTAGTAGTAAATGATGAAAAAGTGTATGTTTCCACACCATTTTAATTTCTGTTAACCAGCCTTAGCCTCTGTAATAAATTGGGCATTAGATGTAAAGAAAGTTGTCTATAATTAGTACCTGGTATTTAAAATAGCTCAAAAATCCTTTACAAATGGTGATAAAATAAAAATCCTGCTAGTTAAATCACATTTTAAAAACAGAGCCCTGGCCAGTTTGGCTCAGCGGTTGGAGTGTCCACAGGCAGACCAATGTGTCACGGGTTCAATTCCAGTCAGGAGCATGTACCTTAGTTGCGGTTCCTTCCAGCCCTGGTCGGGTCATGCGGGAGGCCACCAGTTGATGTGTCTCTCTCACATCGATGTTTCTCTCTCTCTCTCTCTCCCCAGCCCCCACTCTATCAAATGATAAATGAGAAAATATCCTCAGGTGAAGATTAAAAAAAAAAAAAGACTAACATTTAGTGGATGTTGACTGACTTTATAAAATTATTGTCAATCTCTAGATTATCATACAGGTACCCACAACTTATTCAGGACTGTTGTGAAAAAACACTCTCATCCTAAACAATCTTGCACAGGACACAAAATCATGTAGGTCAATAATTCCTTCTCTTAAATTTTTGGAGCCAAATGTGATTCAGAAGTTAGATTTCTTTTTAATAGACTTCTATTGATTTTTAGATAAAGATAGAAACATCGATGAGAGCGAAACATAGATTGGCTGCTTCCTGCATGCCCCCTACTGGGGATTGAGCCCACACCCAGGGGATGTGCCCTGACCAGGAATCGAACTGGCAACCTCTTGGTGCACAGGATGAAGCTCAACCACTGAGCCACACCGGCTAGGCTAGATTTTGTTGTTGTTGTTGTTACTTTTAGAAGGGTAGCATGGTATATGCAAAATATATCACACTAGCACTCCATTGAAGTCTATGGTCCTGTCCTATAATCAAACACATTATTTCTGCAGTAAAATATATGAATATTTATGTGTAATAAATACACACTAAAAATAAACTCCTATCAGTACCAATCAGGTTTTACCTTCAAATAAGTTCACGCCAAACTTAGAAAACACCTCTGGATTTGTGAGCTCCTTGGATTTCAAAAAAGTATATGAACCCAATATCACTCACAAATAGGTGATTTCTTTCAGGCCAATAGCTCTATAAATCATTAAGAAAATTATGATTTTTTTATACCACTCACAACAATTAAACCCAACCTAACAAAAACAAACAAAAAATCTACCTCTGGAAAATAATAATAATAATTTCTTGATATTTTAGATATGGATCTATTAAATAATAAGTAGAGTTGAATAAAACATCCAAGGTACAAAAGAATCTATGTGCATACTGACTAAAGAATATTGAAAGGTCTTGTAAGCAAGACAATACTAAAGAAAGCTGGGAAATGGAGAAAAGGTACTTTTCTTTTGGACTAATCTTCTGGAAGTCTTTTTAGAAGTACCTAATAAGTATTCCTAGTTATTTTACCAATAAAAATGTAACAATACAAAAGTAAAATTAACTGGGGCACAAATGTAGGTTACTGATCAAGAGGAATCCAACTTTGCTATTAGTAAATTTTGCAAAACATCAAAAATATTTGTAATTTTGATTTTGTAATCTTTAAAAACTTAAATGCTTGCCCTGGCTGGTTTTGGTCGGTGGTTAGAACGTCAGCCCCTCAGACCAAAGGGTTACAAGTTCGATTCCCTGTCAAGGACATGTACCGAGGTTGCAGGTTCAATTCCCAGCCCAGTAGGGATCATGTGAGAGGCGACCAATTGATGTATTTCTCTCATATCAGTGTTTCTCTCTCTCTCCCCCCCCCACCACCACCTCCCTTCTACTCTATCTAAAAAAAAAAAAATTTAAATCAATGGAAAAATATCCTCGGGAGATAAATAACAAACAATAACAACAACAAACAAACCAAAAAAACTTTAACATAACATTAGAAGAATATGAGTTTTTCCACAAATCCAAATCCTAGTAGCTTACCCAACCCTTCATTCTCCAAATATAACATATTAGCCATATTCCAACTGCAGGCATCAGTAATATATCAAATTTTATTTTTCTTTGATCTCTGAAAAATAACTTCCTCATCTGATTAGTCATCACTTCTTTTTTGGTACATATGCACTTGAGGGATGGAGATAAAAATATTTAGTTACCGGCATAGCTTGGCAATAATGACAATGAGTAAATCATAGTCCTTGGCTATCTATATTTTTGTAGGCTGCAAAGAAAAATTTCCTGTTGCTATGAATTCAAACAAAGACTCTCTGCCATATTCCAAATCTATCATTCTTATACCCTTCAAGAAAAAAGAACAGATAAGAGAAACAATCCAAATACTTCGAATACAGCTAACCGTGGGGATAAGGACCAGTTAATTCTAATCTGTAATAAAAATGTTTATGCTAGAACAAAATATTTAAAACCAAAATCCCTACTTCCTACTCAGTTAAACAAAAGGTAACCTTCTTAAACATACTATCAAAATCTGTCTAATCAATAGCTATTTCAATTTATAGACAGTTACAGATTATTTTACAGTTAACAGAATTAAAAAATCATCATTCAAGAATCCCTTCACAATAGTCAATACTTAAGTTTTCCCCATGATAAATATCAAATAAAACCAAAAACAAAAAATAAAACAGTATGATTTAAATCAGAGTATCATGTTAGCTTTGCAATATAAAGATTCATCTTTGTTCATCAAATCAAATTATTTAATTATTCTGTTCATTGATGTAGTCCAACAGTGATTAGTATTATAAATATACACAATCGACAATAGATCACCAGTCTATTGGATATTCAGTTATCGTCTTGTGACCATATTGACTAATCCTGTATAGCTCTTTCTAAAAAGCCAATCAGTGAACACAACTCACCCTCTATTTCCAGCTGTGGCAATTTTTCCCACAGAGGACAGTTGGCAGTGTCTAGAGAGAATGGTTGCCATGAAAAGACAAGGGGTTGCCCTGGCTGGTTTGGCTCAGCGGTTAGAGCGTTGGCCTGTGGTCAGAGGGACCTGGGTTCAGTTCCCGCTAAGGGCATGTACCTTGGTTGCAGTTTGTCACCGGCCCTAGTTGGGTTGTGTGGGTGGCAGCCACTCGATGTGTCCCTTTCACATGGATGTTTCTCTTTCTCTCTCTTCCTCTCTCTCCCTCCCACTCTATCTGAATAAAGAATAGAAAAATGTCCTCAGGTGAGGATTAAAAAAATAAAGAAAGAAAAGACAAGGGGTGGGGAATGCTACGTAGGGAGGATGCTACTGGCATTTAGTACCTAGAAGACAGGGATGCTGCTGAACATCCAACAATATATAGGACTGGCTATTGACATAAAATGTCAATAGCGCTGAGATTAAGAAATACTGGTCTAGCATATAAGGCCTTCAGTTGATCTCATTTTAATTTTCCAGGCTCATCTCTTCTATTGTTTTATTCAGTCATGATCTAGGATTAATAACCAACATTCCAAACTCTACATTTTTAACACAATGCTTTCTCCACCTAGATTTCAGTTCCTAATTTAACTCTTATCTCCTCATCAATTCTCCTAAATCAATCCAGTCTAAAGTAGTCTCATATCCTTTGAAAGATTTAAACTGTATAAGTAAGTGATCAATCACTATCCATTATTTTCTTTAATTATTCAAATACTATCACTATTTCTTAGTGCATCCACCATTACATCCAGAAAAGTGCTTTTAAACAAAACTACAGATGGTCAATGAACATATCTTGATCCACTTAAGCTAAAGTCAAATTTAGCACAGAACATTACCAAAGTCAATTTAAGCACAAAACATTTCCAAAGTCGCAGCCTGACTCTTCCAGTTAAATTACTTTATGACAATTTCACCTAACTAAACTATGACTTAAGATACAAAGTTAACCATCTTACTTTGGCCAGAGGGTTGGGGGACAAAGCATTGCTATTTTTTCTTGTTTAATAAAAGCAATACAGGTATTATTTTTCAAAAAGTTTCTATTTATATAGCAGATTACTAAATGGAACTTTCCTAGCCCTAATCCTAGGTCCAATTCTCAAATACAACCACTTTAACTAGGCCAAACCATGAAATTGCCCATATTTGACAGTTTTATACCTATAAAACTGTTAATTTTATATGGTTTCACTGAACATTTCTACATATATGGTTTTTCTGGTGGTTATCACCATAATTCTAATATACTTATATTTTGTTTTAATTTCAGATTTTTATTTATTAATTTCAGATTTTATTTACTAACTCTATTCAATCAAAAATAAAAAATTTAGCTCTATTTTCACATTATATATAAAATAAGAGATAATCTATTTGCCCTGGCCGGTTTGGCTCAGCGGTTGGAGCGTCCGCCTGCGGTCCGGAGAGACCTGGGTTCGGTTCCCGCTAAGGGCACGTACCTCGGTTGCAGTTTGTCCCTGGCCCTGGTTGGGTCGTGCGGGTGGCAGCCACTCGATGTGTCCCTTTCACATCGATGTTTCCCTCTCTCTCTCTTCCTCTCTCTCCCTCCCACTCTATCTGTACAAAAAATGGAAAAATGTCCTCGGGTGAGGATAAAAAAAAAAAAAAAAAAAAAAAGAGATAATCTATTTTTAGTTCATATTTTTTAATAGTAGAGGCTTATAATTATTAACTGTCAATAATCACTTGAGAGGTAATTTTTGAGCACTATTTGTCTTTTTAGATTTTATCATCTGAAAAACACATGAATAAAATTATGTTTATCTACAAGGGTCTTAAATATAATAACCTTTTTCTATAGAATTATATATATTTATTATTAAAACCGAACAGAAATATGAAGTTTTGCCCCGGACGGTTTGGCTCAGCGGTTAGAGCGTCGGCCTGCAGTCCTGAGAGACCCGGGTTCGGTTCCTGCTAAGGGCGCGTACCTCGGTTGCAGTTTGTCCCCAGCCCTGGTCGGTTGTGCGGGTGGCAGCCACTCAATGTGTTCCTTTCACATCCATGTTTCTCTCTCTCTCTCGGTTCCTCTCTCTCCCTCCCACTCTACCTAAACAAAAAATGGAAAAATGTCCTCGGGTGAGGATAAAAAAAAAAAAAAGAAAGAAAGAAATATGAAGTTTTGTAGTTAGAATTTCAGATGTCAAAATGAAGATCAGAAGAAATTGATGCACAGAATCCAAATAAATATTGAGGCCAATCAATCTAAGCATTTTAACATTTAGTTTTAAGGAAGTCAGGAGTCATTTCTAGAAATTCTTTTGAAAGAAGCTATGATCAACAAATGGTTTCTATTTCTCCACTTTCAGTTTAATCTCCTATTCATAAGTAAGGCTGGGATTCCACAAACTCTATTTAGAGTTTACAAAATCAGAATGTATTGCCAAAAATAATTATGGAATACTTAAATAAATTAAGCTTTGGAGTATTTCCCATAATGGTATTCAAATAAGTCAATTTCTGAGACCCAGCTTATTTTGTCACACTTTACAATCTGGACCGTAACAAACCAAAATAACATTCTAGCCAAGAATATTCTATCTGCCAAGGTTTCACCAAGAGAACTAAAGTAAATTTGGATTTTACCCCCTTGTCCTTCCTTTCCTTTCCCTTCTCTGGAAGTACCAAGCATCAGTGAATCAACTAAATGGAAGATACAAGTGCTAAGAAGCCATGGTTAAAAAAACAATTAATCAAGATAAACTTAACAACTTTTGATTACTGGGAGTGATCTCAATTAGGCACCAAAACATATAAATTGTTTAAGATTATATCCTATCTCTTTTTAGGATCTAAACAGAGAAAAGATTGTAAATTTTGGAATCAAAAGACAGATTAGATTCCATTATGGCCTGACTGACCTCATACAAGTTCTTTAAACTCAATTCCCCTATCATTTGTAAAATATTTCCTTCACTAAATTACTTTAAAAATTAAATGAAATTATAGAAACAAAAAGTTATCAGTAAATCACAAGTAAATTCTGATTGTTGATGCTATTAAAAGTAATAATAGTAACAGAACCTAACTTCATCCCTTCTTATCACCCCTAGCAGGACAAAAACAGAAAGGAGATTGACTAAGCATAGACAATCTCTATGCTTAGAGATTTTGTGGAAGAATACTTAGAAACCAAAGGGATGAGCCTTGGCCAAGTAGCATAGTTGGTTAGAGCGTTGACCTGATACGTCAAGCTTTCGGGTTCCATCTCTAGTCAGGGCACATATAAGAAGCAACCAATGAATGCATAAATAAGTGGTACAACTAATTAATCTCTCTCTCTCTCTCTCTCTCTCTCTCTCTCTCTCTCTCAAATCAATAAATACATTTTAAAAGTTTTTTTTTTAAGTTAAAAAGATGAAATTATAAAGGTATTCATTTCTCACTTTATTTAAATTTCCATTCTAAAGGGAAAGGATTGTAAGTAATGTTTATTGTCCATGTGTCTCTTGGTCTTTTTCACATAAAATATGTAAATATAATTTGTATCCATTTCTCAGATTCCTAAGATTAAAACTTTGTATGTATCTCTATATGAGTTACAATGAACAGAAGATACAAAGTAAACTATGCTTTTATGTTTTCCAATTTTGTACAATGTGAATATGTGACCCTTTTAAAAAGTTCATTGTTTTCAAAATCATGAAATATAAAGCAATCAAGCATGCATGCTTTACATCTCAGAGATTTCTGAAAAGCCCAACCCACTAGGTCCAGTGGCTACTAGGAAGCACAACTTTTTTCTCTGGTCAGAGGGTGCCAAGTGATTTGAAAAAAGAACCTGGCTCATGAACAGTTCCTAGCTCACATCACTCACAGGATGTTACTCTACCTAGTAATATCTCTCAATTTTTTTTCCCTCTATCCATAAAATAAGTATAAATGTACTTTCAAGTAAAGAATAGAGAAAATGTTTTTGCATCTTTGAAATAAGTAAGTCCTCCTGCAGGCTCATTATCTAAGTATCAACATAAACAGAAGCAATGATAGGACCTAGTGACAGGATCTTAGAGAAATGTGGGAAATCAAATGGACAAAATAAATAAAGTTTATGTGCTTTAACTTTAAATTGGCATTTTTAATAAAAACCAATTCTTAAAAAAAAAAAAATCTGAAAATAAACCCAACTCCAGAAAGCTGGGAAAGGGAAGAGAGAAACATTTACCTGATGCATCTCCAACTTTAAAATCACTGTCATCTGAACTATCATAATCGAGAGCTTCTAGCAGAGAAGCTGCCAAAGGCTTCACCTGCCTCCTCTTGGAGCTTCGATCCACTGTTAAGAAAAACAAAACAAAACAAAACAAAACAAAACAAAACAAAAACATTATAGAGTCATTTAAAATCACACAAACTATAGGGGAGAGCTCTGGTGCTAAGGGAAGGCACAGAAGACCTTGGCCCGGGATCTTTATAATTCAATTCTCAGCAAAAGGCGTTGGGGGAGGTTGGGGTGGGAACGCGGGCTGGGGAGGACCGGGAAGCAACGTGGGCAGCTCCAGCCACGGGGTGGGCCGAAACCAAAGCTGACCCTCAAGCACATTTTGTGATGTTTCTGCGACTCGCTCGTAAATCCTCATTTAAGAACCGTAACAGTCAATAGAAAGAAAACGCAAAGCTCAGGTAATAAAAGCCCCGATCGTTCCCGCGGACAGTGGAAGGGAAGCGTCCACGAAGTGCCCCACCCCCGCCCTGCTGTCCCACCGGCTCTGACTTCCAGAAGGGCTGAAATGGACCTTCTCCCCGCGGAGGCCTTCGACACTTACTAAGGAATCCGTGAGGTGGTCGTTTGGAGGAGACCTAGGGAGAGGCTGCGAGACCCAGGCAGCGCCGAGGTCGGGGACTGAGACCGCGGAAACGAGTCGGAAGATGCTATTTAAAATCGGGGGTGCCGCCGAGCGGATCGGGCGTCCCAGGTGCAGCCCCGTGGTCCCCTCCCGCACCCCACCCCCCGACCCGCCCCTTAGTCCTCGCAGAACCGGCCCCAGCCGCTCGCGCCCCTTCCCACTGTGCTCCCCGGGCACAGGCGCCCTCCGGTCCAGGCAGCGCGGCCAACCTGGCAACCCTGGGGAGTTAATTTCCCCCGTTAAAACTGTTAGAAAAAAAGAAAAGAAAGAAAAACTTTATTAGCCTGCACCAGAAGCAACAAAAGACCCAGAATTTGCACTGTCCAAGGCCGATTGCCTGAGACAATAGGGAAAGCAACGACCCGGATACAGCTCGGAAGAGAAGGAAGTGAAAACACAAGGCTGAGAGAAGCCCTAATGCAGCAGGAGCCGAGAGCGCCTGCGCGGAACTCGCCGCCTCTCTCCCTCCGGGAGCCGAGCAGAGCCGAAAGGGAGCCGAGAACAAGCGAGCGGAGCCAAGTAGTGCCAGGGAGAACAGAGAACACACCCAGACCCTGTGTGGCTCCGCCCACAAATCCCTGAGGCTCCACCCTCAGTCCAAATCTGTAGGGGGCTGGTTTTTGCTTTCTGGTAAATCCTTTTTTTAAGGATTTACTCAGAATATGATATCCACAAAGGGACATTTGCTAACTTGCGTCACTATGAAAAATCATAAGCAATACCATCTCTTCTGCTACTCTATAAATTGCATCCCTTAAAATATCTTGGAGCATGGGGAAATTTTATTTCCCGGAAGTGGGTAATGTGAGAATAGCCTTAGACCTTGTTTAATTGCTGCTTTGATATTTACAAGTCTAACAGAAGAAAAAGCATTCATTTAATTATATTAACTGTTGTTTCAATTATTGTAGTATGGACAGACATTTCCGCATAAATAAAATATACAGCGGCCCAGCCGGTGTGACTCAGTGGTTGAGTGTCCACTCATGCACCAAGAGGTCACCAATGCAATTCCTGGTCAGGGCACATGCCCAAGTTGTGGGCCCAGTCCCCAGTGTGGGGCATGCAGGAGGTGGCCAATTGATGTCCTCTTTCATCGATGTTACTATCTCTCTCTCCCCTCCCTGTTTCTATCTTTCCCTCCTCTCCCTTCCTCTCTCTCTAAAAGTCAATAAAGAAAAAAAATTTGATAAAATATACACAGTAATGCTAAGAGAAAGATAATACGCCTAGGGGAAATATTCCCTCTCAGAAGTATAATGTGCATTAAGTCATGATGTGTGTTCACATGAATGTGAACTAGTACCTTGCATCCACTTAGATAATTTATTTATTAAAATGAATTTTTAAACCTATAAAAACATGAGGACAGTATGTACAACCAGACATGGCAGTCTTCTTTCAATGGATGTTGGCACCTATTCAACGCCAACAGGGATCCCCAGTTTGGGGTGCAGTAAAGAAAGAAATTGTACTCAGTGCAAACAGCTTAATTGTGATACAGAACAGCTCACTAGTGTGCAGCTCAATTATGAAGCAGCACAGCATGGCTGGGAGGCAGTGCCTGGGACTAAGCCCATCTCTGGCTAGACTGCTCTGCTCCTGGTCGGCTTCCCTCTGCTCTAGCCAGATGTCTTCAGAATATCTTTGGTGTTTCAGCTCCAGCCAGAGAAACACAGTTTTCAGTCTCCTTTGGAAAGTGCATTTTCTCAGTGCGAGGAGAGTTGACATAGAGACAGAGGTCTCCACCCATGGGACTTTTGCAAATGAGGACTCCAAATCCTCACAGTTTGATTGGTTCAAAAAGCACTGTCCTGATTGGTCAAAATGAAGCTTCTCTGATTAATCAGTGAAGATTCTGATGAGGATATAACTGTACAGCTCTAATTGGATGATTGGTTAGGGAAAACCTCAGTACTATTGATTAAAATACTATTTTAGGAACTTTTTTACAAGGGCTGGCTCATCTGGCAGGAACACAATGGAGGCAGGCAGTTCAGTATAGGCTTCGCTCTGAAGTATGGTTTGCATAAGAGGCCCCTATTTAAAAGTGGCTGCTTGGTCCAGCTAGTGTTGCTCAGTGGTTGAGCATCAACCCATGCACCAAGAGGTAGCCAGTTTGATTCCTGGTCAGGACACATGCCCAGGTTGTGGGCCTGATCCCCAGTGGGGGGTATGCAGGAAGTGGCCAATCGTTCTCTCATTGATGTTTCTATATCTCTTTCCTCTCATTTCCTCTCTCTGTAAAATCAATAAAGAAAAAATAATAAATAAATAAATAAATAAATAAATACAGGCTGCTTGGCTCTGCATTTAAATTTGAGCTCAGCTACCAGGAATCCTTTTCTGTGGGTATCTTCTTTCTTAGGGGTCTACACCTTCAACAGTTATAAATGCCATGCTTAATTCACATACAGGTTAGCTACTTTTTTTTCCTTTATTGATTTTAGAGAGAGAGAAAGGGAGAAGGAGAGAGAGATAGAAACATTGATGAGAGAGAACATCAATTAGCCACCTCCTGCATGCCCCCACTGGGGATGGGGCCCACAACCTGGGCATGTGCCCTGACCAGGAATTGAACCAGAAACCTCTTGGTGCATGGTTCAATGCTCAATCACTGAGCCACAGTGGCTGGGCATGCTTAGCTACTTTTAAAAGCAACATTAAAATGTTAGAATCTGAGCAGTATTAATACTTTTTTAAATGTTAATATATTAAGGATAGAGAAAGATTTGCATGAAGTTGATTCAATTCATTTGTTTATTCTACAAGTATGCATTAATAATGTGGCAGTGTTTGTAACAAGGAAATACAGTGTTATGAAAGACTGCAAATTAAATATGTAGGTATCAAAACAATGCAGTAGTGGAGCTTACTCTTTAAAGAAACATGTTTAATGCTTTTATAAACTGGAATTATATTATATACCATTAAATTTGAAAAATAGTAAATATTTATGTGGTGTGTCTCTCAGCCTGCCGGGATCGGTGCAACACAATAAAACTACAAGCACTTGTGGCTTGGAGTGAGGAGGAGCTTTGCAAGGTAGCAAGAAAATGCTCCAGTTCTCTGGATGCAGTCCCATTTATTTGCAGATTCATACACCCAGGTCACAAGTGGATTTAAGTAAATTATTTCCTTGAGATGGCATTAGTGCAAACATACACCCTAACTTTGTCTCTTGCCCAAAGATAACAAACCCTTATTCACATGCAAATAAAGCACCCAATACATCTGGGCAGGCCAAATATCCCCCTGGGCTAGGATTCTGAGAATGCATTAACACAAGGTTGAGAGTGCTTAACACAAGGTTAAAAAAGTCCATCTTCCAACCCCCTAGCCCCACAATGTGGTACAATCTGTGGGATGATTATAGAGAGGCTGGACTTTCTGCAGGACAGTTGTTGTCTTTTCCTTTTCCAGAGCCTAGGATATAAGTGAGGATACAAACCCATCAATAAACAGTTGCTGTATATTGTGAAAAGCATTACCAGAGAGAAAGTATACATGTATACAGGAGAGAAGGCATTCAGGGAAGGCTTTCTGGAGAAAGTTATATTTAGATCCAGACATAAAGTATCTGAACTGGCCTGGGGAAGGAAGGAAAGGAGACAAAGGTATTCCAGACTAAGGAGAGGGCATGTGCAAATGCCCAGCTCCAAGATGGTATGATTAGTCAGATTCCTTAAAAGCTGGACTGTGGACTACCTCTAATGCCCTCAGGACATGGCTCCATAATGTACTTGTACCTATTATTATTTTTTTAATCCTCACTCAAGGATATGTTTATTGATTTCAGGGAGAGGGAAAGGAAGAGAGAGAAGGGGGAAGAGAGGGAAATATCAATGTGAGAGAAAAACATCGATGGGTTGCATCCTTTATTCACCCACACCAAGGATGAGCCCACTACCTAGGTATGTGCCCTGACTGGGAATTGAACCCAAGACCTTCTGGTGCATAGAACAAAGCTCCAACCAACTGAGCCACACCAGCCAGTGCTCTTGTACCAATTATATTGCAGCCTCATCTTGCTGTTTTCCTCATCACTGCTAAAAATGTAACCTTCCAATCTTTCCAAACCTCTAGTCATCTGACCCAAACTATCCCTGCTATGTGCCCCCTCAAACCTTTCTATTATGCTGTAGAAACTTCCATTCCAAATTTCAAAACCTACTTAGTAAATTATTTTTATGACTGAAACCAAATCCAAGAGGTTTTGAGGTAAAAAGATGGGGTGTTTGGGGAAAGTAAAATAAAAGAAATGAAAACAAAAACTGAATAGTCTTACCTGGTGTGAGGGAGAAGATGTAGTTCCTGATTAATTTTTTAAGCATGCAAGAAAATGCAAATCAATTTATTATAAGTCTAAGGATAATAGGTCCAGTTCATGAAGGGTAATTGAACATCTGAATTGCCTTTCTACCCTCCCCAAATTTCACTGAAGTCACAAATATATAAATAGAAATACAGCCATAAAACCATAGTACTGCCATAAACCTGATAGAAATGCCACCAGCAAACTTTTGAGGGCTACTGAAGAATTTTGACAGTTATAGAGGTGGGCTCAGATTGCCAACAAAATGCACAAGACTAAGAAGCCAATAATCTTATCCAAGTGACAGAGAGGAGTTATTGAATAAGTCTCACAGTAAACTCTCCATATAATACTCAAATGAGAGATAATGAGGCCTGTGAGAAGGGCTGACTGGGACAACAGGGTGGATAATTCATTACAAGGAAAAAAGCCACTTAGCAATCCTGTTTTCAGAGGAACTGAAAACAGTGTTTCTCCCCAGAATACAACTTCAAGTTCAGTTCTACTACGTAGGAAGTCTGACTCCAGAAATTACCAGAATGGGTACCACATTTATAGGGGAAAGAAAGAGTGAGCTCAGTGACTATCAACTGCCACAAGAAATAGAAAGATCCAGTATACAAACTACTCATAAACCACAAAGGGAGCCTACTCATGTGCATCCTCCCTATACCCTGAATCTTCTCTTCCCACCCACTACAACCATTAGAACAAGTATATCTATAAACAGAATGTGCATTCATATCTTCTGGGTGAATAGGGCTTCTTATTTAGGCAAGGAATATACATTCTGGCTGCCAATACCACACTATCTGTGTTTATAGACATAAGGCAACTGAGAATCATTAAATATTTAAGTAAAACTAACAACATCAGAGAACCTAAATTTTTTAAAACCTTTAAAACAATTATATGATTCAGATATATACATAATGAGATTTAGAAGGTGAAAGGGAGACAAAGACCTTCTCTTAATAGAATCTCCCTTCTAGCTTCTACCTTCAAAGATATAAGGTCATGATGGAGAAGCAGTTCTGGAAAAGGTCAGCAGCAATAACTACACTGGTTTTCTGACGTCTAGATCAC